TTAAAATTATTTTCTGAAGGACCTAAATGAAGCGTTTAGTTGATGCTGCGAGATCTAGGAGGCGGGACGGGAGTGTAGGACGTTGACCACGTCCCTCCGCGCGCATCATATGCTGGCAGCGAGCCCTGTTAGCTCCGTGCACTAGCGTATGCATTACACGATTACCGCTTTGTCAGGACTTCTTGAAGCCCGGAATTCTGCCTCAGAGACGCAGTTGCGCGAAGACCGCAAGTACGCGTCAGGAAGTGGTCGAGAGTCTCCAGACGTCATTGCGCGATTCCACGCCGTCACGTCGACGGAAAAAAAAAAGTTCATGGAATACATGTGACACACCCTTTGCCAAGTCGATTCTGAATGAGTCACTGCGGTGGATCCGGCCTCGGCGGGATTATGTCGTAAAACTGACTGGGAGAAGCTGCGATTTGATGGGGGTGGAATGACCCCGGACGTGGGGGCGGGTGGAATTGCACAGGAAATGAGGATGCGGAGAGTCGTAAAAAAAGACACGATTTGCATGTTTCATCACTGCGATCTTTTTAAAGTACTTTTTTGTATTTCGTTTATTGTCTCTTCTGCACGACTGAATCCCCAGCTCTTCACGATCATGGGAATGCTTGTCGGCTTTTTTTTTACGATCCTGGTCTCCGTGCATGAATTCCCACTGAGTAAAAAAAAAAAAAAAGAAAAAAAAAATCAAAGAACTTAATTGCCCAGGAAGTGAAAGGCTGAAAAAAAAGGCAAAAATGGAAATGGAAGTTTCCCCTCTCTCTCAGAGCCGATATTTTTCGGCGAATATTTTTCCACCAATATTTTTCTTTCGGCGCCGTCGTCGACGCAATGTGGTGGCAGATCCGGAAGAAAGAAAGGGGCCGCTATCAGTGTTCGTGTTGACATCCTGGCAATATCGCGGAGAGTAACGGCATCCGTGGGAGAGGGATGAGGGAGGAATGACGGAGGGATGAGGCAGATGATTGAAGGAAAACCGTCCTCCATCGAGATGAAATCGTGACTCTGCCGGAAGGGACCATCAGATCCTCTGACGGATCTTTCTCACATATCGAGGATTCATTACGCCTCTCCTCCTCCCCCTCCTCCCTCCCCCACCCTCCCCCCCTCCTCTCCCCCTGGACGGATCTTTGTCCTACGTATCTGTCCGATAATTGGACTCATCGATCAACTGGGGATGTTTCCTGGATTCTTCGGCGGTAGGCGTCGGTGTGATAATTTTTTTTTTAATGGAGGACTTGTTGATTGCGGGATCGCCGAGATCGCGTTTCTCGAACTGGAAGAAAAAGGTCAGGAGGAAAAAAAAAAAAAAGGAAAAACCTGTGTGAGGGCCATATCTCGTGACACGACATATGGCCCGACCAGATTGATGGCCGAGGACAGGTTTCCCTCTTATCGGGAGACGGGAGACGGAAAAATCCGTTTATTCGGAGAAGAACCGGCTTGGCCGTGTGCCTTTTTGGCCGATTCCAGCCGAAAAGGAGAAATTGACAAGGAGCTTTTTTCTTTTCCATATTTCGCCTCGGTAAGATGTGGAGCCCCTGGCACATCTAATGGAGACATGACTCACCGCAGGATGTGGCCGGCTATCTAATTCAATATCCCGATTCCCATGCCTCTTGGCAACGACGGAGGAAAAAAAATTCAAACGTGTCGAAGGAGGAAAGAACTTCACTCCTGATGCGATTTCGAGCTGACATAATCATCGTGTAATGAAGAAAGAGCCCCAGAAATGAAGTGAGAGAACGATGCGCCGGGCAATTTTTTTTTTTCCTTGGAGGCGAGCCAATGGTTTTTTTTTTCCCCCTCGGGGGATTCTTGAGAGCACCTGCTTTATCAAGGCCAGCAACCGTGATTCCACCCCTCCTGTGAATGCCCACGCCACCTCCATTCATTTGGGAGTGTCGACAGGAAGAAATAATGAAAAGTTTCGCGGCCACCTCGTCGGCCGATTCGAGGCGGTTGTCTGCACTGAATTTTAAATATTTTAACTCTTAAATGTATTAAGTATTTCTAGATGCGTATGTGTATTTCGTCGTTTTTTTTGTCGAGAGCGGGGGAACAGCTCATCTCCATGCGTCCCGGGGGAATTGGAGGGAAACGGGGGGAACGGGAAGGTATACATGTTGCTCGTTCCCATGGGCCGGGATGGCATTTTCATGCTTGGCCGCCATCTGCAGAAGAGCATGACATTAGTCTCAGAGACAGGAGAGGCAGTTTTTCATGGTGGACCGCTTTAAAAAAAAATAAAATAGGGGGGGGGGGAAGTACTTAGTAACCGGCGGGAAAAGGCGATGATCATTACAGGTCAGCGTCTGATGATCTTTCTTGTGATCTTTCTTTTCTTCCCTGCGACCTTCCCCGCAGCAGTTTTTCATCCTGATGGGATTCGGATTACTAGGTCTGACGCACCGCCACTTTCAATTCATGCACTATGTCTTTTTTTTTCCCGGGGGAAGGGGTTCCTGTTTTGAGTCCGTTTCAATTATGCACATTCCTGCGGTCGGTCCCCCCCATTAGTCTTGTTAGGTCTTTCTGCCATGGCCGGACCGGGAAAGAGTAATCAGTGCCGAGAAAGGTAGAGAGAAATTTCCCGCTCTGCTGCGCACCTGTCTCGGTCGCCTGGGAAGGCACAGGTGTGATTATGCGGGCCGGGAAGGCACAGGTCCGATTAAGCGAGCTTATCCTTTATTGGCAGTCCGTTTCGTTGACCCTGTGACGAGATGATGGGGGGCAATCCATCATGAGGGGACTAGGATCCCTAGTAATACCCCCCTCTTTATGTCATTGGCTTTTTTTCCCCCCCTTTTCGTTTTTCTATTGTCTGAGGGGGAAAAAAAGTCGCAGTTAAAGTGCATGAAGAGGAAATGGATTTTTTTTTTTAAAGGCTTCGTTTTGCCTCTGGGTCTCTTCCGTCTGATGAATAATGCGATTTGCTCCCTTCATTGTGTATGCCCGTCTTGCAGAAATCGAAGAAGCCGTTTTTCTTTCAGATTTTTTTTCCCCTTCCTTTTTGAAGACTTTCACCTCGAAGTTTTGTGTCAAGGCCCGCGACGATCGCGCCGCCGTTTCCTCTTCGTTGCATCACGAGAAATAAAAGGGAATCGCTTTTGTGCCGGATTACGTCTCGGTCGTGAAACTCGGATTTCGTCTTTCATCCTGGAGAAAGTCTTACGAACGGGTTTAATCTTTTTTTTGTTGCTTGCTTTTGTTCCTTTTTTTTCTTTGCATGGGTGGTCTTGCAACGCGTCCTCGAGGCATCTGATTTTTTTTTTCTTGCGAACGGGCTGATGCGACGATTATCGGATCATGTGACCCAAAGGATAGGATTCCTAGGATCGTAATCGTAAAATTAGCCCAGAATCCGAACTTGCATTCTGGGCCATGCTTGAAACATCGTGGGCGGTTTGTTGGCCCACATTGACTCGATTCAGCTTCCTTTCTTATATATATATATATTATTTTTTTTCTGTGCTTGCCCAATGCATTTGCATGATTTCATATCGACCGAGAACGAGCGCCGCCTCCCCTTTTATTTTTAATCAGGTCCCTTGACATCTCGCTCAAAAGCATTTCAAAGGCAGGTGATGCATCTCTATTCTGCTTCTACCTACCAAGCCCGGAAGATTCTCGTAAATCCACCACCCACCGGGGAATTCGACTTCATTTGAAGCCAGGAAAGGGTGAAATCCTTCGCTTTTGACGCATCCTGGGGACATGAATAGAGCGGGAAAGACGCAGGCTTTACCCCCCCCCCCCCCCCCCCCCCGACAATCGATCCGATCCGCCTTTAAGTCGATGGGAAATATGGAACTCGCTTGCCAACGGTTGCCTGTGTCGTGGGAATTATTTCGCTGACGTACATTAAATGTGAAAACTAAAAAATTAAATTAAAATGTCAAATTAAATTTTAAAAGAGAATAAAATAATGAAATTCAATTGCAGTTAATTTAACTAGAAATGAAGTAAAATAGATCAATTTAATTTCAGATAACAAATGAAACACAAAAAAATACTGACATATGTACGATGTTTTTTGTCTCTCCAGTCATGAGCTACTTTCCACGAGGACCACTCAAGAAAAATGAAAAATGAGCTCGTTAGAAGTGAAGTAAAATATGTGCACTCGAGCTCGATAAAGCTCGCTATCGAGGCGGGACTCGACTCATCAGCTCCAAATTGGATCGTTTGTTCTCTCTGCGGTGCCGAGTTTTCTCTCTCTCTCTCTCTCTCTCTCTCCTACCATGGGTAACAACAAAGGAAAACCACGGGAGTGGATGGGAAAATAATTAGATAAATAATTGGGACTTCAATTACGGCACTCTACCGAGTCATTTAATTACTCGTCAATTGCTCGAAATGAGAAGGAAGTGAATCGCGCCGATATCTTTGCGGCACGGGGCTCTTAATGTACTTAATATGGTATTAAGAAGTTCTGAGCAGCACGGATGGTTGAAGGGAAGTGTGTTGATGATGGGAATAGAATCCATAATTCTGGACTTTAATTTTTGTTGTCACTGTTATTATTGGTGTTATTATTGCAATTGTGGACGCTACAGTGTGTCTCAGAATTTGCTCAGCATAGACTGACATTAAAGTTTCGGTGGACTCCGAAACCAGGCATCATCGTCAATCACGCTGCTTGAGTTCTGTGACACCCTGCATCAACATGACCCCCCATATCACGCAGGCAGAGATTGTACTGTGCCCGTCCTCGTTTAGGCGTGATCCGGACGCTGACGGTGCTGGACCGGGAGACGAGTCCCGGGTACTGGCTGACGGTGTGGGCGCAGGACCGCGGGCTCGTGCCGCTCTCCTCCTACGTGGACGTCCACGTGGAGGTACTGGACGCGAACGATCACATCCCGGAACCGGAGGAGGCAATGTACGTGGCCCGGGTCCCGGAGAACTCCCCCGAGGGGGTGGAGGTCCTTCGGGTCAAGGCCACGGATCCGGACGAGGGACCCGGCCCCGCCCTGCGCTATGAGATCACGGCCGGCAACCCGCAGAACTTCTTTCGGATCCATCCCGATACTGGTGAGGAGAAATTATTGGTTCTCTCAAGAATGTGGGGGGGAGGGGGGGGGGCTGATTCAAATGAAGGGTGCTACTTCAGGATGAGATTGTACAATGTTCTGAGAGGTTCGAATAAAGGGTAGGATGCTATGCAAGAGGGCGTTTTAGCTGAAAATAATCCAATTTCGTAATGGGGTCCTCTGGGGGGGCAATCCGGTTAAACAAATTTCTAGAGCAGTCTATTATTAAAGTTAGCTTCGTGCCTGCTCCCCTTTGACGACACGCTGCTTTGCCTTCGTTGAAGGCCCCCCTCCCAGTTCAGTATTTTTAGGTTGAACCGGAGGGTCCTTCAGATCGTGGCGATGATTCCGTTCTTGATATGCGCGGAGACGGTGTCAATCCGGAATGAAGCCATGCGCTTTGGATTCGCTCGATGTTTCGAAGACCTTTCTCCGACTTTCCCGCTTCGACGGTGTCGAGCCGAGTAAAGAATTTAATGAATCACTACGATGGCTGTAATTAGTCCCGCTTCGCATTCGCGCAGGCGATTGCGGGGAATGCAATACTCCCCGAGGGAATAATGGCAAAGTGCGGGGGAATCTGAACGGTCTCACCGGAATGCAGATGCTCGGGTCATTGTTCCGGGAGGAGCAAGGATTCCCGTGTTCGACGAGAGATGGCAGTTATGAGGGGGAAGGGGGAGGGGGTGGGGGTGGGTGGGGGGGAGTCGTGTGTCACTCCTCGAGGGGTTATCCTGGGATGAAATGACCGGTCTATCCTCGGGTTCCGAGTATCGTTGCATTCAGCCAGGCCTCATTAACTTGCTGGAGCTTTACTTGCAACATTTCCAGTTCATCGGGTTGGTGGATTCATGGACTCGTTAGGGGGGTTTCAGAGGCAGGCATCCTGCTCCTCTCCCCCAACCCCCTTCCACGCCCCCCTCCCCCCCCCTCCCCCCACTTCCCCCCCGTCGTCTTGACAACAGCGGGCACAAGTTCCCGAATAGGTTCACGAAGCCGATTCCTGGAATGCTGTCAAATATGCGTGGTTGTAGGCGTTTTGACACGCGAGAGGAAGAGACAGGAAGTCCGCATTCTGGAGCTCCATTCTCTGGAATTTCCCCCATCGCAGCTTTCCGACCCAGTGGGAAAGTTTCGTGCGGAACTTTTTTTTTTCTGCAAATGGGGTTGCGTCTATCGACTGTTCCGTGCTAACTAACTTTTTTTTTCCCCCGCGAGAACCGTTCATTCATTCATTGTTATTCGCTTTCAATTCCAGGGATTCTTTTTTTGCGATGGTGGTGCCTTTGACAACTTTGCGTTTGTCTTTCATATTTGAGTCATCCGCATCGGATAGGACTTGCCCCGTTCGGTGTTGCACGATTCCAGATGAGCGATTCTCTCGATTCGGCGCGATTCTGCGTTGCCTAGAGGCAACGAGAGAGATTCCCTCGAAGAGTTCCCATTAAATGACCAATTACCAGCAGAAGCTCTCAAGCGTCGAATTCGTGAATGTCAGTCGCGTATTTTATTTTTTTTTAAATTTTTTTCTTAATTTTTTTTCTTCTTCCTCCGTCACGACGGCAATGCCGTTATCAGTAGGTCAGATGGAAGGGAACTCCGCTTGTTTTTATGCGATTTAATGTGTTTTTAATTAGGCTGTTGGCTCAGTCGTGCTCTCGACGCACGGGCTCTTTGGTGTAATGTGCTTCTGCCTTTTCCTGTAATGTGCTTCGGCCGGCCCTCATTATAATTCACGCATCACCGCCTTTTATGGAGGTGGAATTCTCATTATTCATCACGGTCGAGTCCTTGGATCATGATGATCATCGTGATGATCATGATGGTATCTGGCACGTGCATCCGTGCCATATTTTTTAATATATATTTACTTTAAATAGGCATGGAGCTCGAAGAGCCGTTTGATATGGATGAGGGACACGGGCCTCATCGATTTCCTTTCCCCCCCAAATGCTCGTTATACCTCGATTCACCCCGGGAGCTCGTAAATATGCCCTTTCTTTTCATTCCAGTCTTTTCTTTTTTATTTTTTTCTCCCTTTCCCTTTTTTTTTGCGGGGTACTTGAAGGGCATTTCGGTTTCCAGTGGCATCTGGGTCCGAGACGCGAAGCGCCGACGCTTCTCGAGTTCTCGTAATTAATGGGTTTTCGGTTGTCTCCGACTTTTTTTTCTCCTCGTCTTCTAAACCAGGCAGGTGCTTCCATTATTAACAAGGAAAGACAGGTTTCCCCAAGATTAAATTTTTTAGCTCGTGTCTTTTTCCGTCCTCCCCCGTTTCCTCCCTGTAATTTCTTTTTTTTTTTTTTTATCTCCCACCCCCTGGAGAATCCTCGGTCGAAGAGAGCCCTGATGGAGGAGTTGGTAATATCCTCGTTGAATATCAATGAGACCCCTCCGATGAGACCTCGCCGCCCCTACATGAGTCACACTCCATCAGGCTCTTCCCCCTCTCGTCGGTGGGCTGCAAAATCGTTTCCGATAAAGGAAACTGGATTCTCAATTTGAAATTCCCTTCCGCATGGAGCCCCGCAGTAACAAGGAAAATAAAACTCAGAATCTCTCCGTCTGATTTCACCGTTTTCGGGCCCCCCCCCCCCCCCCGCCCCAAATGATGGTATTTCCGCTGCTTCTTCCCCCTCTTTCAGATGTCTATTTAGGAAATCAGACGGAGAGATTCTGAGTTTTATTTTCCTTGTTACTGCGGGGCTCCATGCGGAAGGGAATTTCAAATTGAGAATCCAGTTTCCTTTATCGGAAACGATTTTGCAGCCCACCGACGAGAAGAAATTGCACGTGACGTTGAAATTGCAATAACTGGATGAATCAACGCACTACGAACCGGGACCGACAATAAAGCTCCGTCCTAAACCGACTCATAAAACTCACGTGGAAGATATAGCTCAGTGCTAAGGGTTGTTTATCTTTTTTTTGGGGGTCCTGGAATAGCGTTAACACCGCTCCCCCTCCGCGTGACAGCCTGCTAATTGGCTCAGCTCTGGGTGCCAAGACAGTGAATGACCTCTCTGTGTGCACTGGTCAGCGCGGTCATATGTCGCAGCGTCTGCGGCCGAGGAAAACAGAGGGGGTTCCGCATGAATGAAACCTCCCTCCCCCCCTCCATCATGTTCCATTTTCCATGTTCTTCTCCCCCCATCCTTGTTTGTTTCTCCCTCTTCCCCTCTTCGCCCTGGCTCGCCCCATTCTTCTTCCGACATGACTGACGCTCCTGAAGTTTGTTTTGCGTCTTTTGTAATGTTTTGGCCTAATTATGCAGGCAGGACTAATTTCTGCGCATCGGTGATAATTGCATGTTTATGTCGAGAGTGTTTTTTCAGTTTCAACTTCAGTTTCTTCATCTCATCAGTCTCTTATTCTGATGCATATCTTTTTTGGGCCCCCCTCACCCACGGTTCGTGTTTAACTTTTCCATTTTCCTTCCCTTTTGTTGCTTTGACTCACCGGAAGGACGTGTCGAGTGGAACGCGAGGATAAATGAAGCCGTCCCAGAAAGGAAGGATGCGAGAGAGGGAAAAGGAAGGCTCAGATATTATACAAGGAAAGTGAAGTGATGGATATATGAATGAGGAGGAGACGGAAATGGACATGAAAGGGACTGATAATCCCCGAAAAGCAAGCTTTGGGGGGGATTCCTCGGATTTCCTTCCCAAAAAGGGGGGAAAAGGAATCCTGTATGACCATCGATTCCTGCCCAGAACTTGGCATGGATTCCTTCCATTTCCCATCTTTCTATCTCGGGGAGTTATGAAATGAGAATGGATGGACCCCCAATGGCCCACAGATGAGGCCATGATGGCCCACATGTCTTCCTTTCATCGCCTCCGAACTCCTTTACCGGGATTCTTTCTTTTTTTTTTCCCTTTTTTTTTTTTTTTGCAACTTCCTCTCGAGGACGATTTCATCAGATCCTGCCAGACAGAGTTTTCTTTGTCGGGGGAACGTTAAAATTAGTTGGAATTTAGAGCGAGCTCCCAAGGCCATTTCGTAGAGAGTCTCTTTGAGCAAGACGAGACAGTCTCCATACGAACAATGAAGGGAACAGTCTCCTCTGTGCGACTCAATCACAGGCAGTACACGCCACGTGGAGATAACATCGCGGATTTTTTTGTCTTTGTTATTAGGTCTTCTGGTCTACCGTCAGCCTTTTTCGTTATCGCAGGGGTACATTAGTGGGATCGATCCGGGTGGAATCTCTGTCTTATCTCCCCGTGATCGCGAAGGAAAACTAAAAAACGAAGCAGCGGTCGCTCTCACGTGCAGGCACGAATGGCATCACCGTAAATGGATCGCGCTTCCGAGTGTTATTAATGTGGCCCTTGCACCCTGTCAGGGTCGTTGGCTCTGCGAATATGGTCTTGTTCGCCGGGGACAATAAAGTAATTTTTTTTTTCCCCTCGGTGTCAGCAGTGTGAGATGTGAGTGTCTTGATCCTGACGGATTTGGCATTTATGGCGCGAGGGAAGAACTTGTTTTCGTCGCTAGGGCTTCCCCGTACGTTCCCCCCGCGAGGACTAGGTCGACTAGCTTTGTTTTCCTTTGATTTTCCTGCTTTTCGTGTGCATATATTTGAATTTTTTATCGGCTTATTCTATTCTGTTGACTCCGTTGCACCCCGTTCGTTCCCTTCCCATGTTTAATTTTTCTTTTAAACATTTGTATTATTATTTTACTTTAAAAAAATTGTCAAGTTTTACTCAAGTAAATTTTGTCTTTCTCGTCCCACGAATCTCGCCGTGTGGACTCGGAATCACAGCACGCCTCGGCCGCGCCCACGCACGAACTCGAGGCAGACTCGTCGTGTCCTTCCCCGTGATCGAAGCTCGTTAGAGAGATAGAGAGGAAATGGAAGAAAAAAGCGTAAACCAGTTCTGTGTTGGGTCACTTCGCTTTGAGTCTTCTAATCGAGCCTTCGATAATATGGATGATTTGGGATGACTGTCACGGCTCCACCGAGAGCCTGTTCCACGACGCGCATATAATATTATATAATTTTTTTTTCCTATCGGGAAACGGTCCTTTACATGACAAAAGCCTTTTTTTTTATTGTAAATAGTTTGTGAAGTCATTGTGCAATTTTAAGAATGCGGAAAAGGAATCGGTTGGCGTGTAATTGGCTTTTTCGCCGGATTTCCGACGAAAAATTGCCTTGTCGACCTCGAGAAGCCAATGCATTTTAGCCATGGAAGCCGCTAAATAAAAACTAAATGGCCTCGTCACAAGCAGAGTTTATTGTCGGGCCCTTCCAAGCCTCGCTGGTGGCTCGTATTTATACAGGCCGCTGATGAAACCGAACCCCGTGACGAAACACACCGGGTGGCGCTGTCGTAACGAAGCAGGCATTTGAAATCCGTCTCCCTCATAAAACGTTTTTGGAAAAGGAATTTGAAATCCGTCTCCTCCCCCAAAAAAAAGTTTTTGGAAAATGCAATAACGGCAGACGGCCATTCGGGCGGGATGCCGTCACGTCCGCAGCAGTCGCTTAATGGGCGAAGGAAATGGGCGGAGAATGGAGAGTATTGGGCAAGGGGAATCTGTCTCCTACCCTCGAGGAATCTGTCTTTTGGAATCTGTCTCCTTTTCCTCGAGGAATCCGTCGCCCCATTTCTTCGTCGATGTAACGCACCGGGGAAGGACTGAGTTACGAGGCATTGTCTGGCCAGACACGTTTGGAAGTAACTCGAGATCAGTCGGGCTTTTGTTTTTTTTTCTTTCTTCTTTTTTTTCTTTCTTTCTTCCGTCTTCATCTTCCTCTTCCTCTTCGTCTTCATATCGCATCCGCGTCTCGATTCCCTCGGGACGTTGCACTCGGAATCCTCTCCTTTCTCTTGTCGGCCGGTTTTTCTCTCGCTTGTCCCCCCTCCCCCCCTTTTTTTCCCGGGGAATTAGATACCCTTTAAGGAATTCCTCCCTTAAAGGGAATTCTCTGTCCCAGTGGGAGACTTTGGGACTCGCGTGTGTGTAATGCTACCGAGACAAAGCGAGGCTGGATGAGGGCCAGTGATTCAGAGAAGCATGAAATCACCTCACTTCCCCGGCCCGTCATGATGGGCAGCTCTGAATAAAAAAATAAAAAAGTGTACATCCTGCCATTACAATGCACATACTCATTTTCCTCCCCTTTTTTTCTCTTTACAGGAGTCATCACGACGACGACCCGTCGCTTGGATCGGGAGAACCAGGCGGAGCATGAGCTAGAAGTGAGTCCTTTTCCAGTCTTTTTTTTTAATTACTTATGTTGATTTCATTCCCATTAAACGCTTTTTTTTAAAGATATATATTACCAAGATGAATCGCTTACGTGCGTTTCACCGTTTTTTAGAATGTAGTTCCTGATATGTCGGCGGGCGCGAATGGGTTCAATAGGACCGAATGAATGGGTGCCGACACCAATTTCTTCTTGCACGGGGGAGACTCGATAGATCACCATGCCAAGCTCTTTTTTTTTCTTTTTTTTTTCTTTTTTTTTTTCCTTTTTTTTTTCTTCTCTCCTTTATACCGACTTGTTGAGGGCGTACAAAGAAGAGACGGAATGTCGCCCAAAAATAAGATGAAAAATGGAGAAGAAAAAAAGGACTGGAGGGAGAGAAAAAAAAAAGTCAGCAGGTCGACTGCTCTCGAATCAGGCCGGATGATAAATTATTCATGACTCAATCGACTGTTCCAGTCTTTTCGTCTCCTTTCGACGGGTGCGAGGTCCCGTCGATGGGATCTCACGAGGAATATTTACGATTCGACCTTACCGTTTCCGGGTGGGCATAAATCTCGGTGGACCGTGTTTGCACCCTCGTGATTTAATATGTGCCTCGTTCCCCAGGCTCGTTTGTCCGGATGAGTTGACATGATGGGCTTGACCTTCCTTTTTTTTCCTTTTTTTTTTTTAGCCCCGGCTATTTTTGGTGCTGGGGCTGTTGTCGGGCTCGTAGTTAATTTTATTGTCACTGTGGGTGTGTGTGGATCATGAATTCACGGCACGAGCATAGGTATGAGAAGAGGGGGGTATGAAAGTTGGGAAAGCAACAGAGATGGATTTTTATGGACTTATCAGGGACCTTCAAGGATAGCTGCGATCGATCCTTGAATCGCAATCGTCGAGTTCGTTTATTCTGGAATTTACAGGAAAAGTGTTTTCTTCATTTGAATGTTGACTGGTTTTGGGGACTGACATTCTTCCAGTTGCAGTGGTAATTTATTTTACGTCCTCGCTGTCAATCGATGTCAATCGAATTTAAATAAAAAAAAGTTGTTCGAGTGCCAGTTCTCGACTCGAGGCACAAAAAAAGTGTCAAAATGTGACATAACGTTTCCATTGGCGCATCGTGGCATGCGGAATTTTATCAGCCAGATGTCTCCCAACAGATACAAAACAATCATTATTCGTATCATGGATCTCTAATGTGTTGTGCGCTAAAGCTCGATAAACAAAAAAAAACATGTTATTGTGAAACAGACCCGGGCATGGACCCGGTCTCGGACGCGAAGACGAAGCGGGTGACTTTCCTTCTTGCATGCCAAAATTAATCACATTTGAAAGGATGGTGAGGGAATCCGGATTCCGGCTTTGAGGGGCAGTGAGCCGTGGAAAAAGGTGGAAAAGGCAGGACTTATTCCGCCCTGTCATCCCCCGCCAAGGAGGCTTTGATGAACGGTCCTGCACGAGGCTAAACACGGGTTTAGGGAACGGGATTGCCGGACTCGAAATTCAGACGGATGAGGGCCACGTTCCCACGTGGTAAAAAAAAGAAGCTTACTTGGAGGGGTGGACATGATTGCTCGACTTGTTTGTCGGGGTAATGAATGACTCGGCGGGCGCCGCTTCCTGCGCGTCTTTTTTTGGCCCTCATCGAGTTGGGGAATGGAGTGAGGCGGTCATTAGAGGGTCACTCTCGGTGCCTTATGCTTCCTTTGCCCAAGCCGCTGGAAACTTGGTTTCGACCGGGGAGGGCTCGTGGGAAATTTCTGGGACCAGAAAACCTGGGGTCTGGTCGAGGCGTAGGGGCGCCGCCCGCTGTGAGATGTCCTCGGTCCCAGGCAGCTGACCCGGGGAAAAATCCCAGGACTTGCTCGAAAGCTCCATATTAATGGGCTTTCTCGGGCATCCGACAACCCTTGAATGGTCGAAAGGAAGCATGCGAAATGGCATTCGTTTCCAGTTTCTTCGAGTATCTCGTGTTACGATCCATCGGGATCCCGGCCTTGCACATAGCTCCCAGGCCGACCCTCGAGCAATCACCGCCGAATCGATTTCGAAAAAATTGGGGTCGTCCGGGTCATGCAAGCAACACTCGAAACGCGGCGTTGGACTCCGACCGGAGGATCCCTGGAGGCAAGACACGTCTTCCCTTTCCGAGCCCATGACAGTGTCGCCCCAGTGAATTGATGCCATGCCCAAGACACCGTGTCAAGCTCCATAATGAGACATGTCACATGGTTTTTTTTTCTTCCTTCTTTCTTTGTTCGAGGAAAAAAAAAAAGAAGGCTTTTCCCGATAAGATGTGACAGCGTCTTCTGGTTGATCCAATTTTTTTGGCCTTTGAAAGGAGGCTCTGGCGTAGCCCGGTTACCCCCTCCCCCCAGGCCCCCCTCTCCCCAAGGCCCCCGTTCCTCCTCCCCCTTTTTCCGGTCCCCCTATTGGATATGCTCGTCAGGTACCGGCATGAAAAAAGGGATATGAATGGCTATGGGTTTTTTTTTTTTCTGAATGTCCGAATGACATTGTCGTCGGTCACGATTTCCATTGAAATGCACGAAGAGAACCTGTCCATATATTTTTTCCACCCCCGTATTATATCTGATGTGTGGGTCTGGCCTTGAGGGAAGTCGATTGTTCGCTTCCTCGATGGTATTAAATAGGTTAAACGCTCCGTTATTTCATTCCGGGCAGGTCTCCTTAATGGCCCGAGCCTGTGAATGACGTCAGAAAGTCAAGGGAAAGAGCATTAAAAAATTCTTTGGATTCCACCCCTAACAAAAAAACCCTAAATCGGACTTTTTTTTATTATAGAAAGGGCCATCCGCAAAAAGAAAGGGCTCCAGTTGCATCCATGCAAAGGGCGGAAATTAACGCGTTTAGCGCAGTCGTGAGAGACGTGGGAATGGAAAAAGTAAGCGGTTTCTCCTTTCAAACCCCCGTTGAATTTCAGTGGGGGAAGGAGAGCAGGAAAAAAGGAAAAGTTGCACCATCGAGGCCATTGCTCTGCCGTAAAACGGAGGGGGGGGGGGAATGAGGAAAAAAAAGCGCACAGGAGCAACACGTCTTCGCACCCAACAGGGAAATCTCACACCATTGCAGGCAATGTGTCGGGACAATGGGGCGACTGGGCCCATTCATCAGGTAAAGATTTCTCCCGCTTGTATGCAAATGAGACTCGTCACTGGGTGGTCCATCTCGCCTTACGCTTTTTTTTTCCAACTCTCAAGAATGTGCCCTTGAATCGTCCACAGTCGTCGTTTTCTCTCGAGGCGTTCGATGGAGCAGGTGTTCACCCAAATTCCTGGAATCTGAAGGAATCGGATTGCGATTCAATTTCCTTCGGTTTAAGCCAGGGGGATTATTTGTTCTCCGTTTTCAATTGGGGGAGTCAGTTGGAAAATATCAGATATTTCGAGCCGGTGAAGACGCATGAGAGATGAATTAAGTCCCGAATTCATCCGCGGATCCATTTGCATGAGACGAGCTCAATGCCCCTTTCCCCCATCTCCCATTTATTACATCTGCAATTACACGTGGAAAAGGGGGGAAGAGATGAGAGCCCCCTTTGAAGGAAAGTGGGACATAAATACCTGGGAAATGGAATTCCTCCCCATAGTTTTCCCGCAAGGAGGAAATCGACTTTACGAGATCACCCTATTACAAAAATAGACAACGCATGTAACGAGATTCCATAACCGATGCTCCTAGAGCATTTGTCATGTTAAGGGGGGGGGGGGGGAGAGAGAGAGAGAGAGAGAGAAGAAAGGAGAGGGGTTGCATGTTATGTGCATACATTAAATCGAGGTCTTGGTAACAGAGAACTTGCATTAGACCTGGAATCCGGCTTCCCAGAAATGTGATGGGAGTTTTTTTTTTTCATTCTTCCCCTTTTTACCGGCTATCTCGGAGCATATATTTTGTGACAGTCACAGCGTCAGCTGTCACCTAAACTGGATTCGAGAAAGAGACGGGGAAAGAAAGAAGGGGGGGGGGGGGTTTCAGAAGGGCAATATGCGATCTCGGAAGGTGTTGAAGCAGGTGGAAGAAGAGGGACTTTCTCAAGAGCCCTTCGCGGATATGGTCTTTGAAACTCCCTCAGACGGAGGAAAACAAAGGCAGATGGTCACGGAGGTAAGTCTCCATTTTAAAAAGGAGAGGACGAAGGCAAGGGGGGGAATATTTGCCGTAACCTCCCTTTCTCTTCGAACAAGGGGGAAACGATGTTTGCTTCATCCCCCCCTCTGTTTATCCCCACCTTGCCAACATATACTGCACTGCACATAGGTTAAACCTCGAGGGACTTCACTTCACTTTTGATATTCACTTCACCCCGTATCCAGATCCGCCGATTCATCATTCATGACAGGGATATTTAATGCGCCGCGTATGGGAAGTCCGCTGCCTGTCCATCATCATAATAATAATAATTGTGATTATTGCTCAGGAACCCAAAAAATCGATGTGGATCCCATAGAAACTGCTCATTCCCGCATGATTGGGCCATTCCTGGGCCCCCCGCAATAACAACCCAGACCCTTTCACGCACACACATCTGTGATGGAAACCCAGCGGATGATCCACGCGGCGGAAAGCCTGCCGATTATCCACGTGGATGTCTCCAGTCGATTGGCTCATACCGTGAGATTGGATCATCTTCTGTCGAGAGCGCCCTTCAGACATTGCTCCCCATTCGACTGGCGTTTATCTCATTCTCTGGAATCTGGGATATTTCCTGGAATGCGCAAGGGGCTATTTTCCTCGTGCAATCTCTCACCCGATATGGACCGATTCTGTCGTTATCCGCGAGCTTGGAGGAATATTACTTCCTGTTGCGCCTGTTTCTTTTTTTCTTTTTTTTCCTCCTTTTTTTTTTTATCACGTGAGCAGTACTCGAAGTTATCTCGAGCCCCTTCATTCTCGCTTCTCCCTCTCGTCATTCATTCCGCGGAGATAAGAGGTATCAAAGGTGCGGAGGGAAGAAGTAGGAAAAAAATAAATTCCGGGAAAGTTGCCTGTCGTAAACGTCGAGGATGAAGCTTCCCTGACAAGACACCGGCATTAGACGCTTTTAATAAGGGTCGTAAATGGCGGTGGAGCCTTTCGAGGTTCCGAGGGAGAAAAAAGACGTCCGCAGTGTTTTAGGGAGGGAAGATTTGGACGGGATCCAGTGTTTCTGGGTCATTAAAATACGGAAGAAATGTGAGAAATTTTGTTGAAGCAACAATGTGCGACCTTGAATATAAAGACAAAGACTACCGCCACCCACTCGACTAACAGCACAAGAGCCGAAAAAGACGATGAAATAGGAGGGAAAAATGACGGAAGGTCAAGCCTCTCATGTCGACTCACTCCGACAAACGAGCAAGAAACGAGCACATACTAAATCTCAGAAAGGCAAACAAGGATCCCGGAAATTTATGCCCATCCGGAGTCTCTAAAGCGCCTCGTAAATATCCCTGGGATCCCCGCATTTCCGTCAATGGGACCTCGCACCCGTTGACAATAAAAGGCTGGGAAAAGGCTGTAGAGGAAAGAGCCCGAATCGGCGAGAGGGCACGAGAGGGCATGACCGGGCATGACTCGAGTGTTCTGATGATGGCAGGTGACGATCCACGACAGCGGGGATCCACCAGGCGTCGTGTACGTGGTCATCCAGGTGGAGGACGAGAACGACCACACGCCCGTGTTCCTCGAGCGGGTCTACCGAGCCCGGCTGCCCCAGACGCAAGACCTCACCCAGCCGCTCGTCCAGGTTGGCTTCGCCTTCGTTTATTATGCCTTAAGAAAGCATTTTCCATTTGAGTTCGAAACTTTTTCACTTGATGGCGACACGAATGGGTGTTGGCGTCACCTGGAAAGTTTCGGACGCAAGTGAAACTAACTGTATATAATTATGTTGCACTGCCAAGTTTTTGTTCTGCACTGTGAGAGGCGATCGAGTGTGACGCGAGCCCGAAAGCTTGAACTTTTACGTTTGCTGGTGCCTTGGCAACGTTGCTGCATAGCATTCTCTTGCTTCCCCCCCGTGCATCATGGAGGAGATTCTCGCATAAGCTGATTTGAACGTTTCATTTTTAGCTATTCAAGATGCCTGTACGACAAGGGCGGCATCAAAGAGTTCCCGCGTGGAATTGTTTGTAACATTTCTCAGAAGGGTTTAATGTTCCCTGAAGCAAATTATCTCCCTTAAAAAAAAAAAAAACATCTGAAGGAATCTCTGACCATGGGTTGAAGTCCTTTACAGGCCAGTTTGTCCTTTGACAGTCAGAAACAACCTTCAAATAAGAGAATGAATTCCTTGAATGGTTGTAACCTTTATGTAGGTTTCTCGAGGTTAACTTGATGATTGAGAGCGTGATTCCCTGTGCAAATTTGAGCCGTCACCAAAGAACGAAATGCAAATTGAATGCATTCATAGAAGACAAAGAGGTACTGATGATTAATGGCCAGGACTCCATTAGCATATTTCTTGGCCCGCTGCCCCTTTCATGCTTGGCTGGTCCATAGATCACCAGCTAACTGTTGTGACATAACCCAGGGCAGAAGAAATGAGAGTTGGGGACATATGGCGATATCTCTGTGGTTTTCTCGTCCTGGAAACAAATTTCCTGGATAAAAATAACATAAGACATGTTATTGCACAAGCCACAAATCATGCTCACTGTGTAGCATTTTTTGTAGATCTGATTGATATAAGTTGATATAAATGGCTGTTGGTGTGTCTTTCTTTAACAGTAGGCTTACGTTTTTAGGACTATGACAGATTTAAAGAGATTTAAAAGAGAAGCACATCTCCATTTTCTTCCTGACCCTTTCTCTGTGAGCTGTCATAGGTGCATATATTGAATTCATGGGTATCACTGAAGAGCATTTCTGAAACATTGCTGTCTAAAAGCTAGGATAAAGATGTTAAAGATTTCATAACATGATTTTCTTTTAAAAAATGCTCTGCTTTGTGGAAATGTACAGTTTATACATAAATGAATATCTTGAGACTTACTTGTTGCATACCTTGGTCAGTGTAGAAGGGCAGTCTCTTCTCCCTTTTCTTCTTTGTGTGAACCATGTTAGTGGGATCAGAGAGGCACAAAGTGTTTTCTTACCATGAACCATGTCATTCCTTTTTAAATGCAAGCGGAGAGTATGTAAGGGTATTAGTTGTGTGTATTTTGAGATTGGCACATGGATTCCGCTCATCTAAAAGCGTAGATGGTGCAGTTCACAGTCGGCTTTGGACAACAAGTCATAACATTCTTAGGAAAGGAATGCACCGTTCTACTTTGGCCAGAGGAAGGATGGCCTTCATTTTCCAACATGCTTTTCACCAAAATGCAATTTTTTCAGGCAGAAATATTTCCACACATCTTAATGGTTGGTTCTTTGTGGCTTAACCTTGGGCTCTTGGAATCCATCCTAGTTTGTTACACAGTGACTCAGACTATTGTGGCACTGTGGATATCAGATTCACTCATTAAACTTGGTTTTTAAGAGTTTTCTAATGTTATGTAACAATCGCACCTTTTAAGAGTCACCTCTTTGGGGTCAAGAACAGAATGGAGAGGTTACCCAGTCATTACCTATTTCCTAGGAGGGCTAAAGATGGGAAGCGTTTGGATGATTTGATCATTTATTATGCCTCGAGGGAGAAGTGCACATCATTTACATAGTCTAGGATTGCTTGATGGAATGTAGCTGGTCCAGTTTCTATTCCAGACGTTGGTGATGGCATGCATTATAATTTTATATAAGAGATAAATGTATGCTCCTGCTCATGGTTAATGGCAGCTCATTTCCATTCCAATCAGCCATCTGAGGGCTCTGAAGGAGATGACTCAAATCTGGTAGAGGGCTCAGAGTGGGCCGTTTATGAAATCCAACACTTGTCAGGGATCCCAGTTTACAGGGTAAGGAGGTATCTTCTGGGCAGTTGAGCCCCCTTCACAGTCTCCTGTTCCGTTCTGGTTCTATTGGGTATTCTTTCCTTCGTTTTGTTTCTTTGTCCTGGAGACACCTTATTTCATTTGGTGGTGGCATCTCTACTTCAGGTCCAGACATTGACTTTATACATTAGCTCACTTTCTCTTTCTTAGGAGAGAAAAACTTTACTTCATCTGTTCATCAGCTCATAAGAATGCCTGGCATGCTAGAAAATTTTATTGGATTAATTCCTGGAATTCTCTGAGTCTTGTTTAGCTTTCCTCCTTGTTTTATTACTTTGAGGCTCTTGCCTTCAGCTTGGGAATGTGAAGAAGATCCGTGATAGTTCAGCTATTGCATGAGCATGAGTTCCTGCAAAAACATGCAAGTTGGTGCAGCATGGACCACTGTACTGTGATTTAATTTACGGCTGAGTACAAACTATACAAACCTGTTAACTTTTTTGATTGCTCCACATTATGGTTGCATCCATATTGGCCTTTTGCATTAAAAATCCATGCTCATTCCCTCTCAGTTCATTGATATGCACTATGAAATTTTTTTGAATGGAGATATGTATAGTGAATGTAGAATGAAGTTTTCATAAATATATTGAAGAAGGATGTATTGATATTTTGATACTTATTAGAGAAGTTATTTCCTGCTATTTACTGTTATTTAGAAGGATAGTTCTAAGGCATTGGACCTATTTCCTTGCTACTTGGCTTTGGTTCCTAGACTGTTTTACTTCAGCTTGACTTGCATTGCAAAATTTCTGCATGTGTTTTCTTATCTCTGTCAACAATTGAGTCTTTCAGATCTTCAGCCTGATCTTGCATTGGAAAGGAACATTCCACTCATGCATAATCTGATTGATGATCCCTCAGGTGGTGGCAAAAGATGACGATGAGGGACGCAATGCAGATCTTGTCTACAGCATCAAGACGTTAGAAGGGTTCAAGATCCACCCAACCACAGGTGTCATCTATGCTCAGAAGCCACTCAAGGCTGGAGAAGAGTTTGAACTCATGGTAAATATAATCTCAGTGGCAAAATCAATCTCTCAGGTTACCATCCAGTATGCATTTCCATGAAGATGATCATGAGTATTCTGAGGAAGTAAACAAAGGGGAGAGGGACTGAGCATTAAATGTCTTGTATATTTCATGGATTCCTGCATTATTCACTATGTAACAATTTATTGACATTTGACATTCCTTGTTTGATTTTCGAGGGCCTCAGAAAATATTTTCATTTTTTTAGCATTAATCAAAATCAATGCCCCAGAAAATTCATCAAAGTTCTATCAATGGCATGTATGCATTTGTATATTAGGGGTAACCATGCATGCTTGATCATGACATGGAGAGCTCATGAGTTACATCTAATGTGAACCAGGTCATGGCATCAGATGATGGAGAATTCCCCAGAAATGCCACTGTGAGGGTCCTCATGACCATCCTCCCGATCCCAGATGTTGCCTCACATCCCCATCCACCAAAAGTGGCCAGTCCCATTCGCCGTGTTGATGTGATGGAGTCAGATGCGGTGGGAACCATGGTGACTTTTGTTGAGGCTTCAGATGAAGATGGGGACATGCTATGGTTTGAGATTGTGGGGGGGAACTCTGGGGAAGAGTTCCATATTGGGCGGGACACTGGGGTCATCCTCCTAGCCAGGAAGTTGAACTGGGAGAAACAGAAGGAGTACAATCTGAGCATCAAAGTCACAGATGGCATTCACAATGCTTTCTGCCAGGTTAGTCTACTCATTGCTCAGCACTTTCACTAGGGTGTCTATTATAAAAGTCATGTCCCATGGGCATCCTTTTCATTTTGGGAGTAATCAATTTTTCACCCAGAAGCTGACTTGAGTTGTTAATTTTATGCTTTGTCATTGGTATTCTTCTTTTTGTTTCAGTGTAGAAAATAAAAGGAACTTGACCTACATAGCTTTCAATTTTTTGGGAAATCAGAGTTTTGGCTTCTATTTTTGAAGAGAAGTTATCAGTTATGTTTTACAAATGTATTTTCATTTTACTGCGACTTCATCTAAGAGAGGTAACTAAGGTTCTGTCAGGAATCATTGACTGTCAGTAGCAGAACTGAGTGCATGAAGCCCATATTTCTTTTCCAAATTCTGCAAATGATGAGGAATTAGCTTTTGCAGCTTGACTCTGTGGGCTCATTGTAATGTCAACATACAGATATGTCAACAATGGACTGCATGCATTTCATGTTTGATTTTTTGCTCCGCAGATTATGGTACATGTTGTGGATGTGAATGACCACCGCCCTATATTTGAAGAGGAGCAATACATTGCCAAGATTTCAGAATCAGCCCCAGTTGGATCTCGTGTGCTCACAGTCTCTGCTCGTGATGAGGATGAGGACCAACGTGTCATCTACTCAATCCATTCAGCACGGCATCGTGGTTCCCTTTCCATGTTCAAGATCGACTCCACCAGGGGCATCATCACAACCAGCATGCCACTGGACAGGTAAGCTGAAGGCTTCTATTGTAAGGGAGTTGAATGGAGGAACTTGGTCTGGCATCAAAATGACCCATGCATGAATACAAATCCCTGAGTCATGAGGATAAATCATATGTGAATGTGGATGGATGTGCCTTTTCAGAGAGACGAATCAGGAGCACGTGTTGACCCTGATGGTGAATGACCAAGGAACACCTTCGAGGAGAAGTTACACCCGTGTTAGGATCACTGTAGAGGATAAGAATGATCATGCACCCCAATTCCTGGAGAAGCTGGTGAAAGGACAGGTGTTTGAAACGGCAGAAATTGGGACAGCAGTCATTCAGGTCATGGCTTTTGACCGTGACCATGGTGACAATGCTCGCATCACTTATGCCATGACTGCTGGTACATTAATTTTTCTTGCAAAGGAACTGAAGTCCACTTGAAAAGGGATCTAATACAGTTGAGTTTTGATTGGCAGGAAACATCGGGCAGGTTTTCAGTGTCGATCCTGTACTTGGTATCATCAGGACAAGAAAGCCATTGGATCGATCAGCAATGCCAGAATACCTACTGGTCATCACAGCCTCTGACCATGGGATTCCAAGTCTCTCTGACAGCATCCATGTCCAAATTCATGTTTCCATGGCTGAAAGAGACCCACCCAAGTGAGTGATTTAGACCTGAGCATACCAGATTTACATCAAAGTAGATCAATGAGATAATGGAGATGCATTTCATACTTAGCTACCATGTGACCAGTCCTGTATGTTCTTTAGTATGCAACATGTTCTTAATAACATATGTACTTTCAGGTTCACTGCGACAGAATACACTGCAGAAGTGTATGAGAACAAGCCAAAGGGAACATTCATTGTGAGCGTGGAGGCCAGGAGCCGCTCTTCAGTGTACTATGAGATCAGTGGAGGCAATGAGGGCAACATCTTCAACATCAATCCCAGCTCTGGAGTTGTCTTTGTTGTTGGGGAGCTGGATTTTGAGACCAGGAACTTCTTTAACCTCACAGTTACTGCATCCAATACTGTGAGTGCCAAATGCGAAAGCATCTCATTGTAAATGGAACTGGAAACTATCATGAGTTATTTATTTTTGAGACAACTTAAATTGGACAAAGATGCTAGCGTTTCTTGCCTGATCCATCCTTAATTTTTTTATTTGTGTTCTTCCTGAGTTTCTTGCTAATTCTGTTCAATGATGCTAGCCATGAAAAATTGAATAATTTTATCTTGTGTAGATCCATCTGTTTCAGGAAGTGATTCTTTTAGTTTCAAAGCATATGTCTGGAACTATTTTGTCCATGATAAACATGCCATTCAGTTTACTTGAAGTAGAAGGTTTTTCTTGCTTTTACATAGGTTGGTGTGCAATCAATGGCATCAGTGGTGATCAGTATCCTTGACCAGAATGACAACTATCCACGTTTCACCAGTCTGTTTTATGAAGGCCATGTGAGCGAATCTGCCCCAGTTGGCTCACTTGTGCTGACTAATAGCAGCCAGCCACTTGTCATGACTGCACTTGATGCTGACTCAGGGCTCAACAGTTTGCTTCACTTTGAACTTCTTGATACCAGTATCTCAAGACTTTTCTCTGTGGATTCAAACACTGGTGAGTTTGGTGCAAGACATCCACTCACTGTTTTGGAGGTGTCTTTGTGTTCACTGCTTGCAGGTCTATCTTAAAACCATCTTTTCATTGAAATTCAGGTGCGGTGAAGGTGAATGGGAGACTGGACCATGAAAAAACACCATTCCTGGAGTTCCTAGTGCAGGTATCAGATAGCGGAAAGCCAAAACTGGTGGCCGACACACCCACAACTGTGCGAGTGTTCATCACAGACGAGAATGATTCCCCACCTGCATTCTCTTCCCATTCTTACAAGGCCACTCTTCTTCTTCCGACTTATGCAAATGTTGTTGTGCTGCAGTTGAATGCTACTGATGCCGATGAGCCAAAGAACACTCACTTCCTCTTCTCCATCTTGAATGGGAATGAAGATCTGAAGTTCAAAGTGGTCCCTGATACAGGCCAAGTGGTGGTGAATGACCCAATGCATCTGAATGGGATGTTTCACATGAATGTGTCTGTGAGCGATGGGAAGTTCACTGATGTTGCATCTGTGGAAATCGAGTGTGTGGCAACAACCAACTCTGGCCTTGTCTTTAGTGAAGGATCATATTTTTCTGACATAGAGGAAAATTCCACTCGCATTGTGGTGGTGGCTGTTGTGGATGTTCGTGGGACAGCCCTCAACGAAGAGCTGGCCTTCCGCATCCTCAATCCTTTGGAAATGTTCACCATCAATCCCACATCTGGTGCCATATCCACTACTGGGATTCCTTTTGATAGGGAGGTTCAGGATCATTATGAGCTAATTGTGGAGGTGAGTGCAGCACATATTCTATGAGCAAGGGGATTTAACCCTACAATGCATTTTTTTTTTTTATGTACCAAAAACATTTTTGACAATAATATTTTTGAATGTGGTTGATTAGAAAAATAATGAAAAAATTATCCTTTCATTTTGGTTTTTCCATTGTTCTGTAATATGTTTCATTGCAGAGCATGCCATATCTGGCACACCATGCAGTGTAGGGTTAATGAATGTTTTCTAGGATATGGAGATGCAGTATTATGGTTTTGTTTGACCACCAATTTCTGGGAAAATAACTTCAAAATCAGATAACTTGATGTTCATTATGGATGTGGAGCATAATGTGGGGAGGTTCCAGAAAAAGTTTATGAGAAATTTTGTGTCCATTAGCTCTGTCATTCTCACAGATCCTGCTCCTTTTCTGCCTGTGCCTATGATATACTATCGAGAAGCATAACACTTTCATTGAAGAGTGGCAGTGTCATAAGGTCACTAGTCCTTTCTACAAGAATTTCCAGAATCATGAGAAGTCCTCCATCAAGGATGATGGATCTGTATGAATTTGATGAGTGAAGATGATTCTTAATTTGCTGAGAGCTCTTTCATGACAACAAAGTGAAGTGTTTTTAAGAGGTAGCATTTAGGGACATCTTAGAATTAGGATTTAAATAAAATGCACCTTGTATTCAAATGCTTCATGGTAGAGAAAACTATAATTACTAGCATACTAAAGGATAGTATAAGTGTGCAAAATGCACTTCAATGTGGCTTAAATATCCAATGAAAATTACATGTCTTTGTATGACATCTGCTTTAAAGTACAGTCTGCAGTTTTTATCATGCAGAGTAGCATGCATTGTATATAGAAGCATATATTTTTAAAGTTTCCCCAGCTTCATTTTGTTCCTTATATCGTTGGGGAAACTGCCAAATAATATGTATACATTCTAGGAAGCTGCTTGGTGTATTCTCAGCAAGAAATCACTTGGGGATTGGTTTTTATTTATATGGGAGGTGTTGGTTTCATATTATTGTAGACACATATTGGAGCACTTCATTCAGCAGAAGTAATTAATCTTCTTGATTGAATCATTGAATTACCCATTCAGAATCATCCCATTCCTAGGTCAGGAATGGAAAGGGCATGGCTCTTTTAGTAAGAGGCAAATGACTCCCTATCTGTCCTATTCCCTTCCCCCTTCCCCCTATTCCCTTCCTATCCCAAGTCTTTCATTTTGTGATTTGCATTCCAGCATATGATGTATCAAGATGCTACTTGGTGCACATTTTGAATTGCAATTTTTTGGTAAAAGAAAAGTAATTCCAATATGATCTCTTTGTGGGTAAGTCCTAATGCTAAATTGGGTAGTCTGGAATCTCTACCCTAGGAGAAGAAAGCTGAGGTTCTCATAACAATGTCATCTACTGGTACTACATGGAGATTATAGATTTAAGGAGTGTTTCTGCTTACATTAAACATCTATACAGATTTTATATTGGAAATTTGTTCCTAACATTCACCATCTAGGACCATACTTGTTCCTTTTCAGGCTGCTGCATCTCCTGGGACACCAGAAGCTCGAGTTGCTCATGTGCTAGTGAATGTCACTGTGGCAGACACAAATGACAACCGACCAGTATTCCTCAATCTACCTTATTATGCTGTGATCCCTGTTGATGCACAAATTGGCCATATTGCCATTCGGGTATGGGCTTTATTTTCATTCAGACAGTTGTAAACATAGCAATGGACTCTTCTTGATGGTTTTTGACATGATAGGTGGAGGCTATTGATCTGGATGTGGCGGAAAATGGACAAGTGCGATATGAGCTGGTTCGTGGGGATGGTGACCTCTTTGGGGTCATGTCCTCTTCAGGTGATATCTTTCTGAAGCGGCCTCTAGAATCATACCATCGTGATTATGATCTTGTCGTGGCTGCAACAGATCGAGGTTTGACATCTCATTGTCGGGAAAAAGAAATGAAGACGCAAATTGAAATTCTGGCTAATAAATATAATTTTCAGGAAAGTACCCACTGAGAAATGAAGCTCCTGTCTACATTAAGATCATAGATCGGCTAATGCCAATCTTTGATCGCCAGTTCTACAATGTAAGCATTGCTGAGTCAGCTGACCCACACACTCCTGTCATAAGTATCCTGGCAGAGTCCTCTCACGGTCGGAAGCTCATCTACAGTATCTCCAGTGGGAATGAGGATGAAGAGTTTGGAATTGATTTCAACACTGGTAAGTCACTCTTGGAGGCTTTCAAAATGGCCTATTCTCTAATCTTTGTACAGAACTAAATCAAGGCATAACTTTTTGGATATCTTTCATCCCTTTTAGAACCTTCCTGCAGAACTAACAATGGGTGCTTTTCTGAAGTCCATAGATTTCTTTTTTTTGACAGTTGAAGAGAAAAGAGTCTGATTTTGATCAAGCCTATACTCACTTGTCAGACATTAATGTAATCTGTTTTGAAAGTTTTGACTCTGTGTCATGAATATATAAATTAGTGGTCACAATCCAATATTGTTTGAATCAAGTTTTTCTGAAATTTTTTGCAAAGAAAATGGAACACTAAGGAATAGCTCAGGTGCTGCATACATGGTGAATTCTGACTTCTGCCAAGCCTGAAGGCTTCACTGTTAACCAATTTGAGAATATCATTCAGAGTAAGCCATCTTCTTGCAATGTTCACTGATAAATCTATTCGTCTTAGTGGGACAGGATGGAACTGAGGACAAAAAGTAAATGGGAAGGGTTTAATAAGATTCTAACCTCATGGTGTTGTGTATCTCTTTTTGTATTTATCCTGAACTTGCTCTTCTACTCATCTCTTTTGCTTGCATGGACTTGGCTGGAGCAGATGCTGGGAGTAAAAATGGACCCTGTAAGTCCTCCTTTTTTTCTTTTTTCTCATATCTGTCTCTCTAACTTGGTTTTTCTTGCCAGCAGTGTTCACAAGGCTGTTTTGTAATTTATTTTTCCTTTTTATGTGTAATTGTTTTTCCTTCCAGTTCAAAACAAGGGATAAAAACAAAATAAATTTTAAAGATGAGAAACCTTAAAATCATCTCATTAAGAAATTTAGTGACAGTGCTTTTGGACACTGCTGGTTTGGATTCCAACTCATTGCTGTATCTCTAAATGCTACAATCTAATAGTTGGGCTTATTGCATCCTCTTAGTGCTGATTGTAGGAACTTCTGTGCCTTCTCTATTGATACTAGAAATGTATGAATTAATAGCAGGGTGTCTCAAAAAAAGACTTGAATATTTAAAAAAAATGTTGAACAGTTTGTGATTGCTAGAGATTTACAGAGAAACCAGCTTCCCCTGCTGGACCCACTCCATTGGTAGGCAGATCCTCAATCAATCTGGCAACTACCCAGCCAGCATCCTAATTGCAGAGACCCATCACCGTCCTATTAGAAACCCTGTAAATGTGGCTGTATCTCATGCAGAGGAGGACTCACCATCCTAGAACCAGTAGCTAGGCTATTGCTAGCTTTAAAAAAATCCATCACTGATTCTATCACATCACTATTACAAAAAGAGAGAAAACCTGTGGTGAAAGCTGTCTGACAGTTCTCCTAATAACAAGCAAGAGAATGTTTCTTTCCAGCTCATATCATTATGGACATGTAAAATTCAATTGCGTCTTTCATACTTGTAATACCCAGTTACAGAGGAGTTGTGAAAATGTTAAACTTTAGCTTGAACAAGTAGGGGTTTTACATTGTGCCAGAATGCCTTATATTCTTAAATATACATACTGGCAAGATTTTTGTAGTTTTAAGCTCACTTCTAGCAACAAATGTTTACTGCATGTAGCTGATGTGTCAGAACTGAAATGCTGTAATGTATGGATTATCCTAGAGAGGAAATACATTTTTCCTTATCTTTATAACCTAAGTAGACAGCTAGCTTGTTGGGGTTCTACACCTATCTTGCAATGCATGCTTTCTTGTAAGTATGCCATGCAAAAGAATGGTGCTAGCTGCTTAAGGAAGTTTGAGAGGATTTATAAAAATTTCCTGTGATTGCAATCTAAGTTTTCTTCATCATAAGAAACTTTCCTATATTTGGATAACTAATTGAGAGAATGGGAATAGGAGGATGGGAGATTCAAAGCACGTTGAAAACAAGGGATGATATTTACCTGCATGATCTAGATATGTCTCCTTTGGTAGCAATATAATTGATGGTAAAGTGAGACTAGGGAGATTGAAGTCATTGGTCCTTCATTGCCATCCATGGTGATCATAACAGGTGCATTGTATGTGACGGATGTTCTGGACTACGAGCTGACGCCTTCCTATCACCTCACCATTCGAGCCACAGATAGTGTGAATGGAGCATTTTCAGAAGTGCCTCTCAGCATTCAAGTCACTGATGTCAATGACAATCCACCTACCTTCCTACAGTCTTCCTACAATGCATCCATTTCTGAACTTGCACCTGTTGGCACCTCAGTACTCCAAGTCTTAGCTCAAGATCCTGATTCTGGTGAGACAGATTGCAATTCATTCCAAGTAAAAAAAAAGTAATTGAAAATAGAGGAATCAGTTTTAATATTATTTTAAAAAAATTTCTTGTATGCATAGTGATCACAAAATAGGTTTTGAAGGGGGAAGGCCAAGGTCCAACTGCTTCCTCTTTTATTCCTCCATCCCCTCACCACAAATATTCAGTTCTTCTTACCAAGTTATAGTTTCATGTTTCATTTCCCTTTTATGCATCACAGAAAGTGACTACTTTGTATGCAAGCAGTTGTGACTTGAAAATGGAAAGGTTTTGTTCATCATTTTTAAATTCTCCTATGTATGTTATACTTTTTTTGGAAATCTTGCTTTGGGAAGACATGAAGGGACTGACCATGCTTTGTATGACAAGCTAACTTCTTTATATTTCTGGTTTGGTTTGGGGGACTCATGAGGAGTTTAAGTTGAGGAGTGATGTGGTGTGTGCAGTAACTTTGTAATTTTCTTCTGTTTGTTAATAAGAGATGCTCCACAGTGACAATTTTTTATTTATGAATATGAGGCAATTCATATTCATAAAGAAAAGTCATTACCTGAGTCAAATAGATCTCTCTCTTAATATACTGAATTGACTTTCTTGTAAACTATATCATCATTTATTGTGTACAAGATTCACCACCCCTTTCATGCAATCCTTGACATGACTGCTTTTACAATGCATCAAATACAGTTCAGTGTAGCACTTTCAAGCCTGTGACCTGAGCCTCAAGCTGCTGTGACAGGCAAGATAATATAAAAGAGAAATTTATATAAGTAATAAGTAATATTCAGGGTGGTATTAATAGTCTCTGTCTTTGTTATTACTAAAGTTAGTAGTGAAAACCTTATGAAGCCAAACAAACAGTTTGCCTCACATGGCAGTCATCCAAGGTATGTAGAGTTGGCTTAAAGTAGTTGGTTAATAGATCATACAGGTCTTGGCTTATTGATCATCTACACCAGTGATGCACAACCTTTTCCCCGTAGAGGGCCAAAATTTAGATTTTGGCTCATGTTTGAGGGGATGGAGGGCCGCAGACCCTCGAACATGAGCATAAATAGGCCGCATATAAATATGGATCTTTAGAGACCGGAGGCATCCAAGGGACCGCAAAAAGGGTCTCTGCGGGCCGCGGGTTGTGCATCACTGATCTACACCAAAACAACAAGCATTTTCCAGAATGTAACTGCTTAATGTTCTTAAATGTGTAACTGATGCAGTACTTTCTTTGCTAACTCTGTTGCTGTTGAGAAATTTGTCTAAAGGAGTTCTTAAAAAAAAAAAATTTCTCTCCCTTTTTTAATCTTGGAAAAGACAGCTATTGTGTGCCTTCACCATGCTTCTCAGGTGCTTTCATTTTTGTTATCTTCCTGTAGCTGTAATTAATCTGGGATAATATGATTCCTTTGTGACAGGTTTTAGACTAGATAATCTCAATGGAAGGATTGCCCAGACTTCTTCATGTATATAGTCTCTTTGGATTGTAAGAATCTCTATGATAAAATAGTGTCACAATTTTTCATGAGAAAAGGTAGCCCAATACTCTCTATATGTTATGTTAGAAAGTTAACCTTTTGATATTGTCTGTTTAGGTTTGAATGGGAAGGTGCAGTACAGCATCCAGAATCCAAAGGTGAATGATACAGAGCAGTTCTTCAGAGTGGATGCTGAGTCAGGTGTGATTTATACCATCAATCCACTGGATGCAGAAATAAAATCCCTCTATCACATGGTCATTGTGGCATCTGACTTGGGTCTCCCACCACTGTCAACATTTGTGCATGTTTGGATATCAGGTAAGGCAGACATAGTAAATGTATGAAAGTGTGACTTGAGAAAAATGAGTTTCCAAATGCATCTGAAACTTTTATTTTTCACAGTTGAAGACAAGAATGACAATCCTCCGAAATTTGATGAGGCTTCCTACAGCTGCTTCCTGTCAGAGACTGCCACACGAGGGCAGCTGGTCTCTGTTATTTCTGCATCAGACCCTGACAGTTCTGATGCCCAACATTTGCAGTATGCTATCACAAAGGGAAATGAACTTCAGGTCTTCAGCATTGATCCCAAAACAGGTATTATGGCAATTGACTAAAGAAAAGCCTGAAACATGAGGTTTAAGAATGAATAAAAATAAGGAACAACTGGGATGTTTTTAAAATGCTGTTGACTCTTCCATTCTTTTTATCAGGCATAATTCGGCTGCAGAACCTGCAGAACTTCAGGAACCAGACAGTGTTTATCATGAATGTTTCTGTGAGTGATGGAGTGTTCACTGACTGGGCACGACTGCGGGTGGAGGTCCTTTCATCGAATGGTCACACACCTGTGTTTTCCAAGCCTGCATATGAAGCGCAGGTCATGGAAAGTGCTGGTCCAGGGACTTTGGTGATACAGGTACGAGCCCAGGATGAAGATCATGGCATTTATGGTCAGCTGACATACTCAATACCATCAAACCTCATGCAGAAATACTTCTCCATCGACTCAAAAACTGGTGAGGTGCTTTTGTGTGCATATTTTTTCCTCTTATGGAAGAGAATTTATAGAGCTGACTAAAGGGAGGATACAGTTTGCTTTTATTGTTCATAACACATTCACTGCCAAGCTCTTAGTGATCAGCCAACCACACCTTGTCAATCATTGTAAAGATGTTTAGAACATTTTAGATGTTATTGCAAAATTTCATAGCTCTAAAACCATTTAAGCTAAGTGCATGAAAATTACAACATACCTTCACAAATGTATTCACAATACTTACACCATACAGCACAAATGCATGTGCAATATATAGCACAAATGGTAGTCAGGTGTTATTTTGGCTGTCAGTAATGCAGACAAAATGACTTTTCCAATTTGAAATCTCATTGAAGCCATTTATGAATAGCATGTTTGATTCCTGGAAGGTAAGGATGTATATAGCACATTGTATATGGCATACATGGCCAGTTAGGGAGGAAGGGACTGTTCTTTCTTCATACCTGATGATGTGTAGAATCAGTTGGAAATAGTCCCTGATCTGTCTGCATCATCCAGATGTATTTATGAAAAGCATGGCTGGTCTTATGAGCCAGTGACTCAAGTCAATCTATGTTTGAATTAGGTCACAGGTGGGGTCACTCTTAGTGACCTTTGTCCAGATAAACTGATATGGAAAAAAAAAGAAAAGACATTGCCATGAATATGTTCTACCCATTATTAGGTGAAGTGTGGACCAAAATCCATCTGGACCGGGAAGTGCAGAGTATGTTTGAAGTTCCAATAACAGTGCAAGATCGTGGAGGAAAGCTAGACTTTGCATACCTCCATGTGAATGTGACTGATGTCAACGACAACCCACCCTTCTTCCTTGCTAGCAAGTACATGGTCAATGTCCGTGCTGATGCAGAAGTTGGAGCTTCTATCGTCAGGGTCAGTTCCGTCCAGCAAATATATAACCATTAATACACACATTCAGTAGTAAATAAATGATAACATTTTCCATTATTTCTCCCCTTGAAGGTGAAGGCTAAGGATTTGGACCTTGGTCCAGGAGGTGCAATTGAGTTTTCTCTCTATGAAGCCAATGCCAGCCATGTTTCTGATTTCTTTGGCATTGACTCTCGCACTGGAGATCTCTTGCTAAAGAGCAGTGTCAAAGCATACGAGAATCAGGTCTTCCAGTTCTTCATCCGGGCCCGAGATCATGGGATGCCATCCCTGCATTCAGATGTCCCCGTTGATGTCTTCGTCACTGCACCACTTGATGAACCTCCTGAATTCGAGCGCTCAAAATATGAGTTCTTTGTGAAGGAAAATGCACCCATTGGTAAGCTTCTATCAGGTTTTCCTCATAACAAATCATTCTTTATATGGGATAGTCAGCTTATTGGTGAGGAAATGAAACTGATTAAGGAAAGGAGATTGGGGAGGCAAAAGTTGACTATCTGTAGCTGATCATATTCACAGCAAAAATTCAAAATTGTCAAGATTTAACGTATAAATGGGTGAAGTTCAGAGGAAAAAGTGTGCTTTGTCTTGACCCACTTGTCTAGTTGCTTTTGTGACCTCTTCTATATTCTACAATTTGTATTTACTCAGGGGCGGTGGTGACCCAGCTGAAGGCACAGACAAAGTTGACTGTTTCTTACCAACTCCTAACCACTTGGCCTAAGGACCAAGACAACATTTTCAGCATCGACGATGAAGGCCGTGTTGTGATCAGTCAAACCCCTGACCGAGAGGCCCGTGATTCCTTTTGCCTGGTTGTAATGGCTCAGACAGAATCTACTCCTCCTCTCACTGCCCTTGCTGAAGTTCATATCAAGATTATGGATGAAAATGACAATGATCCTGTATTTGAGAGCAACCCTTATAAGGTGTCTGTGGCAGAGAACATACCTGTGGGTGGCACTATTGTCAAAGGTGAGTCATCCTATAATTCAGCATTGGTTCCATATTTGTGAATATGCTTAGCTTATATGCTTTCTGGAAGAGATGAGTGAGAAATAAAGGTTAATGTCTATATAAAATGGGATTTTATGAAATTGTTACTTAACTTGGGGATGAACATATGTGTCAGCAAAAGTGAAGCTAGTTTGTAAATTTTTCAAGATTTTATCGCTAAAGAAATGCACAGAAAACAAGTTTTAGGCATAATACAGGGTGTTTCAAAAGTCCATACTCATGGGTATTTTGAATTAATTAAATTTCTCGATGAATGAATGCAACAAAATCAGTGCAGAAGTACTAAGAAATATTCAGAGGGGGTTATGTGCCAGGATTGATACGTGTATGCAAGTTCATGGCATGCAATTTGAACATTTAATGAAATAAAGGTAAATTAGGAAATCTGCCTATGAGTCTGGACTTTTGAAACACCCTGTATACATGGAGATCAAGGTATAGTTCTTCCTCCCCCACCAACCACAAGAGAATTTTACCTGTTCTACTATGAATTTGCATGGAACTCATCTCTTCTTTTCTCATGACTGCTGTGAAGCCAATCTGCTTATTCATTTCTGGACTGCATACATTTGTATTCCTCTGCAGTTCTGCCTAGTAATTACCATGTTCACTGCACTATGACCCACCTTGTCTCTATCCATTGGTTGGACAAGTGAGATAGGATGTTTAGGCCAGATTGCTCTTATCACCTTTATCCCATGACCCATAGGTGGGTTGCAATGCTGTGTATACATTAATATACATGCCATTCAGCCTCCATTGGAGTATAGATGCTGGTTTTTATTGTGTCTTGTTAAAAAATGTCAAAATACTGCTAAATCATATGCTTGCCTTTTGGAAAATCCAATGTAGAATGGTGCCAGAGAAAGGTTGGGCCATGAATATTGGAATAAAGGTGTTGGCTAAATGATTGGAATTTTGACAAAGTTTGAAATGATTATCCACTCCTACCCTGATTTTTCCAACTTTAGTGGTAGGACATGACCGAGATCAAGGGAGCAATGCCGAACTTCGATACTTCTTCCCTCCATCCTTGGCAAATTACTCAGAAGTCTTCAGCATTGATTCATACTCAGGAGTGATCACAACCATCGTGGAGCTGGATCGAGAGAAGAACCCTGAATATCAGTTGACTGTAATGGCCTCAGATAATGGTGATGTCCCACGAACTGCCTCTACTGAAGTTCACATTGTCCTTGTGGACTACAATGACAATCCACCTGTGTTCACACAGCAGCTTTATGTAGCTGCAGGTTAGTCTCCTCTCACAGTTACGTAATATAGGGGCCCCAGTTTGTAGCTCGTGCAGATTAATCATGAAACTCATGTGACTGTTAACTGTAAATAAGCTGAGAGGTTGAGCTCCTTTTTTGTAATCATAGAGATGATGCATAAAGAGAGGTCTTCAATTAGTGATCAATTTTTTTGTGCTCTTACTCTGGTTTATTTTTTTCTATTTCACTTTCCCATGTACAGTCGTCCCTCGCCACTTCGCGCTTCGACTTTCGCAGCTTCACTCTATAGCGGTTTTTTCAAATTCCTGTATATTGGGTAATACGAATGTAATGGTGACTAAAGAGTGTTATTTCATGTCTATTAGAGCCCTCTAGACATGAAATAACACTCTTTTGTCACCATTACACTCGTATTACCCAATATACAGGTATTTGAAAAAACCGCGATAGAGTGAANTTTGTCACCATTACACTCGTATTACCCAATATACAGGTATTTGAAAAAACCGCGATAGAGTGAAGCCGCGAAAGTCGAAGCGCGAAGTGGCGAGGGACGACTGTATTCAGTCACTTGAATCTGGAATAAAATCAAAAGGGACTAAGTTGATTTTTTGAAGAGAGAAGCATCTATGACTTGCATTTCTATCTTTTCATTTACCTACCTATTGTCACTTTAATTATTTCCTTTTGTCAGTTGGGTAGTTACTCAATTTGTTGAATATTGGGAGTAGAAGAATTTCTGGAATGGCTGAAAGTGAAGAGGACTCTGTTACAGTCAAGGAAGATGTGGAGTTGGGTACAGTGATCATCCAGCTGACCACGAATGACCTGGACCAGGATCAGTCACCACATCTGCACTTCTACGTGACAAATGGAGATCCATGGAGACGGTTCAAAGTATGGCAGACTGGGGAACTGACCGTGGGGAAGCATCTAGATCGAGAGACAATGGACCATTACCGGTTGGAAATCAGTGTCACCGATGGGAAATTTGTCTCCTTCACCAGTGTCTCCATTGACATCCTCGATGCCAATGGTCAGTCAGAATCAAACATCTTGCTGGTTCTCAGCAGGTCCAGGGCATCTCAAGCAATTTTTTTATTATTATCTTGCAGATAATCCTCCTACTTGCCCAGTTCCATCCTACATGCAATCATTACCAGAATCCATTTCCATTGGGACATACATCTTGACTGTGGAAGCATTTGATGTGGATGAAGGTAACAATGCCAAGCTCTTGTATAAACTGTCCGGTGAGGGATCTGATGATTTCATCCTTGATGCTGCCAATGGTGAGTTGATTGTGGTATGCTGAGATTGTATTGAGTTCTGGAATTTCCAACTGAAAGGAGGCATCAATTTGATGACAGGGATTTTGAAGACAGCCAATGAACTAGACCGGGAATCCCAATCCCGGTATCGCCTTGTGGCCCATGTTCATGACAAGCTTAAACCAGAGTGGGAGTGCAGCTGTGACATAGAAATCACAATCTCAGATGTGAATGACAACCGGCCCACATTCACCAAGGATATGTACAGTGTCATGGTGCCTGAAGACCTGGAGGTGAAGACTTTGGTTGCCAAGGTCCATGCTCATGATGGAGATCTTGGTGAGTAGTGCTTGCTTTACTATGGCTCTATTAACAGCAGAATTGTGTTTGAGTTAAAACTCAACTAATTAATGTAGAGTTTTTTTGAATGCATGTTTGTCTTTGTGTTCATGCAGTCCCAATACAGAAGTATGCAATGAGATCTGGTAAGAGTACTGGCCTTATACTGTATGCATTATCATTGAGTTTTCAAGTAGTTACTGATTCTTTCACCTTTGTCTCATTTCCTAAGTCTCATATTAATGATCATGTTATTCATGCATCACTAATGTGGACTGGTTTGGTGATTTCCTTGCTTTTTCCAGGTATCAACAAAAAAGTGTTCTACATGCTCCTGAACTCAGCAGATGGGCATTTCGCAATAGAAGAGCACAGTGGTCTTGTCACCCTGGCCAAGCCTTTAGACAGGGAGCAGCAGGCAATGTACAACCTGACAGTCCAGGCTGTTGACCAGGGTACTCCCCAGCTGAACAGCACTGCCTCCCTCATTGTCATTGTGCTGGACATCAACGACAATCCACCTGAGTTCACCAACAAGTACTACTATGCCACAATTCCTGAAACTGCCCACAAGAGTATGGATGTGGTTCGAGTGTGGGCCACTTCCAAGGATAGTGGAGTAAATGCTGAGATCACCTACTCCATCATTGGTGGCAATGAGCATAGGAAGTTCAACATTAATCCTAAAACTGGTGAGTTTAACATAATTGAAATCAGATCAGCACATGTGGAAACTGACAGCTGAGGAGCTGTTCATTCAAAGCATTACATGGAAATTTCTAAAGCTTGATTTTTTGTAACATGTCATGGGAGGCATCCTTGAAATCAAAACAAGCGTAATGATGCCTCAAATGTTTTGTGGGTTTAGTGAAGTCATTAAGACTTGTTTTAAATAATGAGAGAGAAGCAGTTGGATGTATTGGAAGATTTAAATAAGAAAAAAAAAACATCTTTCATGTTTTAGGTGCAATTGTGGTAGCTGAAGAATTGGACTATGAGCGTGCCAAGGAATATTTCCTGACCATCCAGGCGACAGATGGTGGGGTCCCACCTCTCAGCAACCATGCTTCTGTGAACATCACTGTCACAGATGCCAATGACAATGCACCCATCTTCAGTCAGGCTGCTTATAGTGCCATGGTCCAAGAAGATGTGAATGAAGGTCATCAAGTCACCCAGGTTGTGGCTACTGACCTTGATAGTGGGATCAATGCCAAAGTCTTCTATCGTATTGTGGGAGGAAATACACACAATCATTTCAGCATTGATGAACTGAATGGTGTTGTTAGAGTGGCTCAGAAACTTGATCGGGAAATGGTTAGTCATTTTCTGCAAGTCCCTATACACTTGATTTATTTATGAGATTGATTTTGTTGACTATTGGATTCTTTGGTTTTATCCCCCCCCCAACAGATCTCCTTCCATCGATTACTCATTGAAGCCAGTGATGCTGGAATTGAGCCAATGAAGACCCAGGTGAATCTCACTATTGATGTTGGAGATGTCAATGATTGTACACCCATGTTCCTACAACCCAACACAACTGCTGTGGTCCAGGTTAGGCAATATGAGAGTCCTTGAGGAAGGAATTGGCTTCAGTTTTAATTCTGCTGATTTAATTCAATGTATATGAAACTGTCATTCTGCAGGAGGGGAAGCCAATTGGTCACACTGTCCTCCAGCTGAAGGTCAGCGATGCAGACAAGGACCCGAATGCAGGTCCATTCACCTTTGATATCCTGGAAGGGAATGAGGCAAATGCATTCCGCATCACCAAGGGTGGTCATCTGAAGACAGCTATCACATTCAATCATGGCATCAAGGATTCATACATCCTGCGGGTCCGGGTCTTTGACAATGGGACTCCTCCACTCTACTCTGACACTTGGATAACCATAAAGGTATTCACTAGTTATGTCAAACAAACACTTATTGGCCTGATTGAAGGATAAGATGAATGTCTCTTTCTCTGTTTCTAGATTATTGAGGAATCTAAATATCCTCCCCTGATTGTTCCAATGCGAGTAAGCATCACAACTTACCAAGATAACTTCCCCGGTGGCATTGTTGGTCGTATCAAAGCCACCGATCAAGATCCATACGACACCCTATCATATGGCTTCGTCACTTCACGTGGGACAGATGGCATCTATGAGAACCTATTTGAGATAAATCCACATGATGGCACCATCATTGCATTCTCAGGCCTTGACGATGGCACATATCTCCTCAATGTGTCAGTGACTGATGAGAAATTTGTGTCATATTCACAAGTGGGAGTGGAAGTGGAGCTTGTAACTGATGAGATGCTCTCCAATGCTGTTCGGGTTCGCATCGGACCTGTCACTCCAGAAGATTTTGTTCTCAGCTACAAGAAGAGGTTCATTCGTGGAATGAAGGCAGCTCTTGGGGTCCAAACGAAGGACATCCTCATAGTCAGCATCCAGACAGCTGAGGATGAGCGACCAAAACGAAGCCCTCCCACTATGTTGGACATCCTATTCATCGTGAAGAAGACTGGCCAGACCTTCCTTTCCAGAGATACTGTGAGGAAGGAGCTCCATGCTGAGTTGGACAAACTGGAATCAGCTCTTGGATTGCGGGTCTTCAGGATCGAGAAGGACGAGTGCACCAAGGATCTATGCCTTCATGGAAAGTGTGCTGATGAGATGACATTGGAGGAGGGGAAGGTGATGGTGGTAACCACTGATGTTGAGGCTTATGTCTCTCCCAGACATCATCACAAGACCATGTGCCATTGCAAGAATGGATATACCGGTGAGTCTATATGAAGATTTTTGGGGGGAAAGAGGCATGCAATATATCTTATGTCTTGCTGCAGAGTGAGACAACCCTCCCTCTTAACTTCTATACATCTATAGAAAGGTCGACTTTGCAGCCTCTCATTGACATTTCATGACCCGCATTATGGTCAGGGAAAACTCTGAGCACTGCTTAGAGTAGAATATTTTGCTCAAGGTCTTTTACCTATTATGCACTTTCAATAATAGACCCTAAAGACAGGTCTTTGTAACTTTGTCCTTCCTATGAAATACTCAATGGTGACTCAATGGGACAAATTTCTAAATGCCCAAGGAAATTAAAAAAAATAAATGTACACATTTCTTGATAAACACACATTGGCTCACTTTAATTTGATTTGCCCTTATATGTGCAAATTTAGCATTGAAAAAAACGTCGATTTTTGTGTAAACTTTGCCAAAAATGCCCCCAGCAATCAGGGCAGCACATTTTGATTTATCTATTAACACAGGCAGACAGGATGGGATGAAAAGTGGCCCATGGCTTTTCTGAAAGATGGCCCCCAGTGGAACTATAACATTGTAAATTTGATCATCTTTCAGCCCTGAAACAAAGCCTCAATGCTTAACTTGCATCTTCTTAGCTACTTTTCTCCTATTTTTTCTTGGGCATAATCTTGCTGGCATCCTGGAGTCTCCCTGTGGACCTCCCCCCCCCCCCCCCATCAAGAAATGCTCATCAAAAAGTTGTCACATATCTGTATGAAAGTTCTCTTTCAATATTTCTTATGCTGATGCCAATCAATGTTCTTCTTGTGGCAGGGGAACGGTGCGAAGAAGTTGCTAACAAGTGTGCTCACAGCCCTTGCCCCGAGTACCAGGTGTGTGAACCTGATGACACTGGCAAGGGATATCAATGCACATGCCCTAAGGGATTTACTGGCCAGCGATGTGAAGTTGACATTATGGAGTGCAAGTCTCGTGGGTGCTACATCCCAAAGAACCCCATGACATTTTCTGGCAAAAGCTTCATCAAATTCACCTTAGTAAACCCCATTGACCGTCATCTCAGCCTTGCCCTCCACTTCCGCACTGTCTACCCAACAGGTTACATCATGTATGCAGCAGGACGGGTGGACTTTAGCATCTTGCAGGTATGAATCACTGAAATCAAGCATAGCACTTTGAGTGCTTTGTTTCCTTTCTCTGTTGAGATTGAAAAATGTGATTCTGAATTGTGGAATTCAATGTTGTTTCCAGATTCAGAATGGTTACATGGAGTATCGATTTGATTGCGGGAGTGGAGAGGGGCGTGTGAGGGTAACAGATATCCGTGTTGATGATGGGGAGTGGCATTCTGTGTGGCTGGAGCGGAGGGGCACAGCAGCAGATCTCCTTATTGATGGCACCTATCGGGCAACTGGAACAAGCCTTGGTACAAATGATGTTCTCAACCTGGAGTCTCTCACTGTCTATTTTGGAGCAGAGGTAAGCATCAGTTGGGGAAATTATAGGCAATTTTTTTGAAGTGATGTCATTTGACATGGCAGCCCTAGGGTTAGGTCTTGTTACTTATTGGAGCTAGTCCCAAGTAAATAGTCCTTGCATGCCTTTTTTTTTTTTTAAATGAAAATGCCTCATCAGGCATCACTCAGTTTTATTTTTGATGAAAGAATGAAGCAGAGTTAAGGAAAAGCACATGACAATTCACCCTTGGATTTATTATTACTGTGTTATTTTTTAACCTTTCCTTTACTTCCTGAAACCAAGGAAACCTCAGTGAATCATGGTTTGGTTATCTGATGCTTCTAATGTATCCTTCTTTCAGGTGTTGATGAGTCGAGGGGCATCAGAAGACATTCGGATGGGCTTCTGGGGCTGCCTGGATGCTCTACAGATGGACCATCTCACCCTACCCCACAGAGAAGGGGGTCTCAGTCCCATCGCCTCCCTCACACTTGCTCATAACATCCAGTTCCATTGCAGTGCCCAGTTGGGTCAACCTGGAGCATGTGGGTCACAGCCTTGTCTCAATGGAGGATCATGCAAGGACCAGGCCAAAGGGGGTTTTATGTGCCTGTGTCAGTCTCGCTTCACTGGCTACCAGTGCGAAATTGACAAGGACCCTTGTGCTTCCTCCCCCTGCCTCCACAGTGGGGTGTGTCACAATCTTTCCAACGACTACAGATGCGAGTGCCCTGCCCGACTGTCAGGAAAACGCTGTGAATTTGGGCAGCATTGCAACCCTAATCCATGCCTAAATAATGGGATTTGTGAGGAGGGGATCATAGGACCGATATGCAAGTGCCGAGGATACACAGGGCCACTATGCAATGCTGACATTGATGAATGTGCCCAGAGCCCCTGTGGCAATGGAGGAACCTGCATCAACAAGGAAGGGAGCTTTGCCTGCATCTGTCATCCAAATACGACCGGTAGGTGTCAAGTAGGCCTAAATTTTTTGCCACATGGGCAGAACATGTTAGAAATTATTACTCCCGTGAAAATTTTAGCTTCATGCATTGCTTTCAGTTTTACTTGAATGATTATTAATTCCAGTACCACATTCATTGTAAACAATAAGGCATACTCTGATGTTAACTTTGATTTTCACAACTTTTCACATATAGGTACCTACTGCACTGAGCTGATGCGTGGAGCCAATATCAAGTCCACACCATTCAACATCACCATAGAAGAAGTGCTAGGCATTATATCATTGCTTGTCCTCATCTTTCTCATTGTTGTGGCCTTCGTCTGCTGCCGCCGCCATCGAGCCAAGAAGGCAAGAGAGCAACGGAGCAACCTCATCGTGAGTGAATCGAGGAATCCCAACATCCTCAAGCCGCACTACACTGCATCTGCCGACAACGAATTCAAGCGGGCCTCCAAGCAGAGCAACCTTGAAGTGTCTCAAGTCCAGGCACCACTGCTGGCTCAGCAACGCCCTGCATCTTACATCAGCCCCAATGATCCTGCATATCAGCAGCTGAATAACTTTGATACTGTTCGCAGCTATGGTTCTGCTGCAGATGAACTTGAGGCCATGCCTCTGTTTACCCCTGAACGGAGGCAACCATGCAGCATCCCACCTTCCCTTTCCCCTCTCCCACCCTCACAGTCAGGTTCTGATACAGAAAGCCTGCACAAACCCATGTGGAATGACCTTGATCTCATCAAGGAGGAGTATTATGCCTCCAGCAAAAAAATCCAAAATGGTGAGCCATGTTTTCTTGCAATAAGAAATTGTTTTTGAGCTCGGTCTGTATGTCTAATTGTGTTTTTGAACAGACCTGAAAGCCTATTCAAGTGGCAAGCCCTATCCAAACGCAAAGCCCACAAAGACGATGATGAAGGTGTGCTTGCCCTCACCACCAGAGAAGGGAATGCGACCACGGCATTTACCATTACCAAATCCCAATCCTAATCCTAGTTTCCAAGGTGCCTGTGCCCTTCCACCTCCTCCCAGCTCTTTGAAGTCTCCCATAAAGAAGACTCAGCAATCTCCAGAGGATATACCAGGTAGGAATTTCATCCCCCTCATCTCCTATCTCTTCATCTGACTCTATTTCCAGCATAATTTCAATCCAATTCACCTTTATGCACATCAAAATGCTTTGGCCTCTGTGCCACTTCCATGAATTTTCATTCTGGTACTATTCACAAAAACTTCTTCATCTGTCCTTGCTTTTGTGAACTATTGAAACTTCTTGAGCAGCCTGTGTTTCAGAAAAGGGTTCTTGCTTCACTCACTCTATTTTCTTGATGGATGAAAGTCTCTATGACTTCCAAGGATGAACTTTTTTGCGATTGTCTTGACAGCACTGAAGCACAGCATCATGAAAGAGAACCCCATACCTCAAAATCCATGTTAATTGTGAAATGAGATGGTGTTCACCATTAACTTTGGTATCTGAATGGGGAAAAATGATAGCCTGGGTGTTTGAATGTTCAGGTTACAGATGGGTAGAGTGCCTTGGGGCTTCATCTCCGTTGCCAACTAGTTACGAGGAATTTGAAATGTACCTGGACATGTTGGCTCTCATGCCCCCACCTCCAATCCCTAGAAGGAGGGCTGGTGAGATAAAAATGCACTCACGCACGTCCTTTGCACCATTGCCTCTCATTCATGTCCGGTCCTCGTCCTCACCCTGCTTCCGAATGTGCATGTTCCTTGCAACTTCTCACATGTGCACCAAAAGGCTGAAATTCCCTGAAAGTCCTGAAAGCATCCAAATTGAGAGCTTGTTACTGTGAGAAAGACAGGGCAAGAATGGCCTAGAAATGGCTTGAAAGTATATTCCCAGTTCATACCATAATGTGCCTTGTTGTGGCCAAGTAGCCAAAATGCTTATTTTATGTTTGTGTGATGATGTGATATCTCCAGTTCACTAACAGTCCTCCAAAGTCCACTGCACGAATATATTATATTTATTTTATTGGCTGGAGCAGATATTGAGCATTGTTTTCCCAGAAAAAGCATTAATTTTTTCAAGCTGTTTCTTTACTCATTAAAAATTGCCTCAGAAGACAGTGTCCAAGTATTGCAATGATCTATGATAATAGTTCTCCCTGGATTATTATTGCTCTGAATCTATTCTGAGATGAATAGTGATGGTCTGAAATTTCCTCATTCCAAGTTCCTTTACTTTCTAGTAAAAGTCTTATTCCAGTAGTCTTCAACTAAGTAATGTCTTGCTACTTCAAAAAATCTAAATGGTTAATGTTAGCATTTGAGAGTTATTGTTTTCAGTATAGTGATACTTTTCTGAATCACCTTTATTTATATTACATTACATACTTTGTGCATTCAAGGAATATGTATCCCTTCTCACATCTGAGAATTTCCTGCAGAATATCATTGGGACTGCTCAGACTGGGCTGGTGGATCTGCAAATCCCCTGCCAAATCTCACCGAAGTCCCTGGTGGAGAAGTGAAGGACAATTCCAGCTTCCACAGCAATGAGTCCAATGAATCTAACAGCAAGCAAGCCCTTCCCATGCAGATCACTTCCAACTCAAGTCAAAATGGTTAGTGGTTTCTTTGAAATGCATCTCAGTGATACAATTCCCAAGAGATTATCCAGGTTCTTAATGTGATTATATTTTAGGCATTTTCCAACATTTGTTTGTTTAAACTGAATGGAGCATAAAGGTGTAAAATACAACAGGCGCCAATGAAATGTCCAATCATAGCTACTACACACTGAGTATTTTCACAAAATGGTTACATGACAATCAAAATGGAAAATGGGGGAAAAAAGGAAGTTATACCCTAGGATATTAATACTATTGATGCGTATAAATGTCCACCACTTCAAGTATGTACCATTCTTAATGCATAGTGCAGTGTTTGTAAATCTAGTCAATCAAGTGTTCATCTGACATCACTTCATTACCTTCACTACTAAGGGGAATATGCATAATTCAAATTAGTACCACCTTTCTTAAAACAGGCAAAATCCTGAAATATACTTGCATAGGGAGTACTGCCTTAAAAAAATCTCAGCATTGAAAGGGCTAATGAAATAAACAGAGGAAATCACTTCCTTTCTCTGCATTCATGAATGGTTCTTACTGATCCCCTGGCAGGAGAGAACCGAGGATCAGACATTCAATCAGATCAAGAGATTGACACACTGCCAGTGCCATATGTAGATGATGACCATTCAGAATATGTTGGGGACACAGAATATGAGCTGGAGTCCCAGACAGACCATCCTTACAAGGAAGTACCTAGCTTTGAGCAGATCCTGGCTCTGAACAGCATCGACCGCAAGTCGGACAGCACCGATTCCTACCACCCTAGTCACGAGATGGAGTACCTGCGCCATCCAAACCAATACTTGCCACATCACCAGCTGACCAGTGAAACTGAGACCGACTCAGATGCCTCGGTGCCCAAATTTAGGCAGCCACGATGTCGGCAGGGGATAGTCACATCCAAGGACCTGGACTCAGACTTCGCAACGCTTCCACGCCGTCACGAAAATGGGTGTGTCAATGGAGAACTGGGGAAGGTGTGTGACATTGATGATCCTGAATTTGAAGGCAGTGGGAGCAGCCCAAAGTTGCTTCAGAGGAAAGTAAACTCACATATACCAACACAAGTTTGACCAAATATTTGTGAGGAGTCCCTTTCCTGCTTTGCAAGCAGGAAGCGAGCTTTGCTCGCCAGCTTTCAACGTGTTTGACGTTCCCTTTCTTCATCCCCATATGAAGAGCAATAATTCCCTGACTTTTTTTGTATGGACTCTGTCGGTGCTAGCATTGATATGCCATGACCAAGTGAGACTGCCTTTCTTTCTTCTGCTTTTTGTTTGGCTTTGATTTCACGATCAAAAATTAGACAGTGACAAGGTAGCACAGTTGCCATGACTCACTCAGCTGCCATATCTTTCTTTGTTGTCTTTTGTCATTCTCTGCCAGTAGGCCTCTCTCTTGTGAAATGTGATTCTATATATGCCTTTTGCTGTCTCATTCTCATCTTTTTCCCATGATCTGTAGTCAAAGGGTAATAGAAAAAGAAAGAAAAAAAGATATTGTCTGTGATGGATCCATGAGAAGCAGGGGGAACATGCACTCGCTCATGGTAATTGTGATAATGGGCACTTCTTCCTCGTCTCAGGAGTGTTTAAAAAAGGTTGAGTGTGTTTTGTCTGAGTCAAGTGTCTTTTTTCAAGTCCTATGTCTGATTTGTGAGGAAGAGAACTTGAACATGTTTTTATTGGGTAATAAAATTGTTGCTTATTTTGATTATGTGTTTCAATCTGCCTAAGATGCATCCAGTAATTTGTCTTGGTTTTGGTTTGGAATTTTTTGTTCTGCACATAAAATATTCAAGACATCCAACCACTTCCTGGAAAGGGCATCATAATGCATTTTGTGTTTCAAAGTTTGAAAAAACCTGGAAACAATTTCAGGTCAATATGTTTGGTATTTTTTTGTAGCAAATTAATTTCACTCATCCATGCACTCTAGTGATACTTCATTTAATGCTTTGACTACCAATCTTTTTGCATGTGCAATAATAATAATAAGCAATAAGCAATGTCGTTTTTCTAAAACATCAGAAACTTACAAGAGGTCCTGGATTGGATTCAGAAATGAATCATTTGTGGGATTGAAAAGTGATTGTCATGGACAAGGAAAACTGAAAAACAAGTTAACTTGTGTGTGGGAATTAAAGGGTTAACTGGCCCATCAGGATACGGTAAGAAATATAAAAGTTGAAAATAAGTTCTTTGCCAGGAATATGAATAAGTTGGAATGATGTACAGTTACTGTCTAGTTATTTGTGTAAAAAATTTGTCCGGCAATTCTCTACAGGGTGTCCTGTAAGTCAGGACCCATAGGGATTTCTATTATTTTGATTCTATGATTTTATTCTGCGACTGTGATTCAGAAAGTGCGGTTGCAGTGGAGATTGCGTCTTCGATTATGTGTGCGACACGACGGCGGACACTTTGAACAGATTATGTAATAAATTTTTGGACTATTTTGTAATTTTATTAATTTTTCCCTATGGGTCCTGACTTACAGGACACCCTGTACATTGAAGTGCATTGTACTCAGGATGCTACTGCATCACCATTGACACATCTATCTCCAACAAAAAGGCCAACCCCCCTTACTGAATTTTAATGGCAGAGATTTTCTGTGTGGCCTATATGATCAACCACAGCATGAAGTGCCAATGTCTTGACTATCAGTATGGACTCCAGTCCACTATCAACATCCAACCTTCTGGGAACAATTCATCATAGATCTGACAAAAGGGTCAATCTGTAAAGTTTTCAAGAGGGCTGTAATTTTCCTTTTTTCCTGGGAGAATGATACTGTTCCACCTGAGACCTCAGACTCTTAGCTCTCTGGAGTAAATTGGATTTTCATTGTACAGGGTGGGCCAAAAAAAAACTTTGGTTATCTTTATCACTCCACAGCACTGGTTCCCCAAAAGTTCTCTAAAATTGCAATAGTGCTTCTGTATAGAACATTCACTCAGCTTTCCAATGATGTCAACAGAATAAAGATTTGTGGCATGACTTTTAAGCAGTTAGATAAAGAGTATAAGAAGTGGTGCTGGAAAAGTTGGTGCCATGCTGTGATGGCAGCTAGTCCAGCAAGAGGTCGCCTACTAACCATAGTGAAGGAATGGACATCAACTGGAGCACATCTTGTAGGGTACTTGTAAGTGCATTTTTCAAGCATTACCTCACTGCAACTGCACCAGAATGACAAGATTGGATCTTAAATTTTATTTACATCAGTGGAAAGCTAGATAAATGTCATTAGAAACACAATTGCAATATTTTCAAACCTTCAAGAAACTATGATGTGAAGCATTAAAGATAACCTAATATTTTCTTGGCCCACCCTGCATTTCCATTCCCAAATTTTATTTTTATTTTATAAAAACAGGGATATTCTTGCCCTCTTGAAAAATTTTGAAAGTGCAAGTTTACTCTTTGTCAGACAAGTGTCAAATTAGTTCTAGTCTTGCCTTGGTACACTGCCTATGAATTAAAAAATTTCAGAAGACTCTTGGAAACATATGAGGCTAGGTATACAGCAAGTTTAGGAACAAAAAAATAGTTCCAGTAAGATTGGTGATTTATTTTTCAAAATCCACAGTTTTTCCCCCATACCCTGTTGAAAATAAAAATAGGACTTTTCCATATGTATGGCAGTTATAACCTGACTTGAGCAGTGTTCCAAGAACAGAGGACATTTACTCAAGCTCCAGATTCTTATTAATATAGCTTGCTATCCAGTCTCTCTTCCTTTGTTTCCTTAAAGAAGGAGAGGAGGCAACCTCTGGACCTCCTCACTCCATTCATACTTGTCCATACATCATAGATTTCATGGTGCAATAGAGATATGTCTATTAACAAAAGGTTGAGAGAAAAATTTTTTTATTCTTAATATTCATGATAAATATTCTATTTACAGAGTTCAACTATTTTCAAATATAGTATGTCAAACTAAACTCCCTCCCCCCTCTATGGCTGATCCTAGGGAGAGGGAAGATTCATATTTGACTAGATGTACTCATGTTTTTCTCCCAAAAATCACAGCTGAATGCACAATCACAAAAATAATGAGCATAAAGTAACCAGGAAATGAATAATAGAAGTAAATATGTCTTTCAAGAATTGAAGAATGCATCACTCAAGAATCACAGCTGAACTTTCAACAGCACCAGGCATAATGCTCCAAAAGGATTGAAAATGAAAGGGGCAAGAAAACAAAAGCGGATGCACCAAGTGAAGATGTAAGTCTCATTCAGTGTCTTAAATTTGAAAAGTATGAATGCAAAGAATTGCAACACTCATGATCTTTTCTTATGTGGAAGTGGATGCTGATGGAGCTTTGCTTATGCCTTCTGACCCTAAAGCATATGTGTCCATCCACACAGTGAGCCTCTCTGTCATACTATTGATCATATCACACTTATGTGGGAGCCGTTGCTGAAGGTACTGGAGGCCATCTAGCAGATGTTCATGGGCAAACTTCTTGGGTGGGTATCTTACCTTCAGGCGTTGCCCATTCCGTGACAAATGATGGGAGCACCCAAATGTCTGTAGAGTAAATAAAAGACAGGAATCTATGATAGCCCAAGAAGGAGATGTACAGTACTCAAAAGCAATGTTCCCTTCTCACCACTTCAGGGGTGTCAACATCAACTATAGCAAAAGAAGATGAGCTACAACTACCAGGGTACAATGAATTCATAAAAATAAGATCAGAACTCCTAAATAGTCACTAATTTTAAAGATTCTCAGAATGCTTGGGAGATGGGGCTCACTTCGTCATCCTCCTCACTAACTGCTTCATTTGATTTGAATGTAAAAATCAAACAGAATATTAGCTAAGATGAATTATGCAATTTAGTAGACCACCCTTGGCTATCCACTGCACTTCTGAAGTGCCACTGGGCCATATGACAACCATACAAGTGATATCACAGGAATGCTGCATTCTGTAGTTTTGAGAATGACAAGATAATGCTAATATTTAAATCATAGTTCTATTCACATTCAATTTAAAAATATATATATACCTGCAAACAGCAGTTTAAAAAAATAATATCCTAATTCCATTGAATGATGCTCTTAGTATCAAGGTTCAAGGTTTGGGCCAGGCTTTCCAGAGGCTTTCTGACCCATATTGATTTTATGAGTAAAGGTTGAACATAAATTCATGGAAGGTTTACTGCAGTGTTGCTATGACTCAGTGGATAGGGTCTTGAGTTAGCCAGCAAGAGATCCAGGTTTGAATCCGGTTGACAACAAGCAGCATTCTTCTGGGCCAGCAGTTCACCCAGTTACTTTCTGATACTACTGCTCTTCCTTGGGCATAGGCCACTCTGTGCTCCATTGTGATATTGGTTTTGTATGCCTCAATCACACCTGCCACATCTGCCCCAAATATGCAATGTGCAGTAAAGCAAGGCCTGATGCCTGAGTGGCATCAAGATGCCCACACCTTCCCTGGGCCATACAAATGAGATACATACATGGTGTCCTGTAAGTCACTATACCATTTCAACCTGTAACATTTTCCAAACTGCTATAAGCAGTCACCGCTGTTGCCATTGATGGAAAGAACATTCTCAAGATTTTTTAAATCACAATAATGACTTGGAATCAGATTCAAACAAATCCCTTCAAATGCATGTTAGAAGATGTACTTGTCTTGAGTGATTTATGTAATAATTTCTCTAAATCCTCATCTAATAAACTGCTCAGCTTTGTGCATTTATTTCATACTAATTTCAAATAGACTTTTGGAACAGAAAAATGTTCCTTTAATTTACTTTTGCTGCCATGAGAAGTGGCTGACAATTGAGCCTGATGAAGAAAAGTTGATAAGATTTCATTTAAATTTGAGGAAAAAGTGGATTTCTCAAGATGGAAGTTTTTGAAAGTCCCATCAGAGTTCAGAGGGAGTTTCAGTGATTCTTTGGGACTGAGCTTCATACCAAATATATTGATATTTAGGCAGAGGGCTTGTTACAGAACTTTGAGAACTAAGAAATTCCTCCTTTTTCTATGACTTCCAAATGACATGCTAGAGTTCAGTGAATCTTAGTTCTTCTTTGTGCCAACTGCTTAATAGATATGATTTTAAAAAAATAATATAATGACTTATGGGACACCCTATAGAGACAAAGAGGATGGAAAGGTGTGGCACCCATCAGAAATGTCTGACATGGATAAACTTTCCCTGACTATTCAGCTACTTGTGGCATATGTTCTTGCCTGCACATGCCTGTCTCAGTCCCAGTTAAAAAAAAGGTTTACTTCTCTTGAAACACTGAAAACTATTAGAAAAATATAGGGAATGGAAAATGGTAAAGTTAATATTCCTTATCAAGTAAAAGTTTCTTTCAAACATTCAAATTCATTCATTAAAAACAATTACTAAGGGCATTATGAACCCCTATGAAACAGACCTGCACAGCTTTCTTCAATTGTAGCAAGGTGTCAAGTGTATTTTCAGCATGATGAAGTCCAATTTCTGGGTCAAATTGGGAGAAATATTGCATTTGCAAAATGTGAAGCCGTAGCTGGTCCAAGATCTCAGGGTATCTCTCCACCATGTGTTGCCACTCAGTGCCAACATCAAATGTTGGATCATCCTCCAACTTCAAACTGACATATGTTGCATGTGCAGAGAAGTTTTTATTGCCATGAGAGGGGTTGATGGAAGCCAGCAAATATTTTTCTGCTAGTTCTCGGTTCTGCTTCAGGTAGAAAACACCCAGTTTATGATTCCCTGTGGTGTTGCTTGGGCAGAGGTCAAGTGCCTTCAAGTAGCACTCTTCTGCCTTGTCCAGGTCTTTCATATAAGCTGGAAGTCTTGAGAAGCCATCTCCACATCTCACCAAGCTATTGGCATTAATGGATGGGTCTCTAGAAACCTCTGTGTACAGGGCAAGGGCCTCCTCATTAAGTTTGGCAGCCAGATTGCGATCTTTTCTGTATATAGCCTTTGCATACTCCCTCAGTGACTCGGCAAGAAATACCAAACTGCTTTGACACCTCTTAATCTCAACTGCCTTCCTCAGTGCCATTACTTCTTCATTTGTTGGTACATTGTCAAGGGATTCAATGCGACGGATCCTCCTCAACATCTTTCCCACTCCCAAGTGATGGGTGTAGTTTTCTGGATCCAATATCACTCCTTCCCTGTACAAATCAAGGGCATATGAAAATGATTCTGCAGAATACACAGAAAAGGCATCAGCTTTTGCACTGAGGATTTGAGCTTTGACTTTTTCTGATGAGTCAGAATATTTCACAGTCTCAAGAAGGATCTCATTGGCTGTATCTGGATCCTCCATGAGGAAATATACATGGGCAAGACTACAGTTTATGAGGTATTGAAGAGCCTCTATTTCTTCAGGTGTAGAATCATCCATGTTTGCAATGTCAGATTGGATGCCTTGTAGAGTATCATGTGCTTTGCTGAGATCACCTTGCCGACTGTATTCATAGGCCAGCAAAAGGCCATGAGTTGCCATCAAAATTGGCTCATTATCTTGTTCATGTATGACTTGCTTCTCTTCAATTTTGGAAATATAACTGGATTCAGGGGGAACATGTCCATGCTCATCTGGTTTCCATGTGAAATGACATTCAGTATCCTTCAGCATCTCCTTCACATCCCTTTGGGGGCAACGTGCCTCCTTGACTCCTCTAGAAATGCTCTCATTCTGGGAATTACTTCCCATTATATGGCATGAATTGGCTTATTTTTACAACTCTATCTGGAAGCAAAGCAATCACAAACATGTGACTGACTGAAAACTCAATCTATAACTGCAAAAGATTTCCATTCCACCTACTCAGCAGCTCAAGAGTGCGCAATGTCTACCATGCTAAAAAGGCATGACAACCTGTCATGTTGCCCAACATGACATGTTGTCTATGCATGTGTAGGCTTTGCATTTGCTTCCTAATGCTGATAAATAAAAAACCTTTATTATGGCTGCTGTTTTTGTTTTTGTTACTTTTAGATAAAGTGACAACAATTTCATTATCTACCAATCTGATCATGCTTTAGTAACAGGAAATGAATATGGGAAGTCTTGGGGTTTTGACTAGGGTAAGGACACCATGAGGCATTTTTGCTCATACTGACAAGCCATATAAAATAAGAGCATTCGTAAACGAAAGGCATACCCGATTAAAATGGAAGCATTTGTTGGAGCATGTCTATCCACTGCATAGTTCCTTAACCCTTTCACTGCTATGATTGAAAAAACTATAGAAGTGGCAGCCAATATATTTATTCCAAAGATATCATGCATTCACTACCTCAGAAGCAAAAGAGACATTTTGCATTAAAATACAATGTCTTACTTGCAGGCTTTTGCAACTTGACCTAGTTTCCTCTCATTCTGCTGTTGCCCTCACATCTGAGTTCTGAAATATCTCTTCAAATAGTACCTGCCTATATTAAAGTTTTCATGATGAATAACTTTTTCCAATTCCATAGTTAGGTTAACTATTATTGTAAAAAACTGAAAATGACAAATTATTGCAACCAGGTGATATGATACTATTCTTACTATGAATGAATGCATATGCCCATTCTAGGAACATGACAAAAGTCATAAGATTCACAATAACTTTCATAAAGATCAAGATAATATGCTCCCCATTGAACATTAAGGACCTGTGTTATGATTAATAATTCATGAAGATAGGGAGTAATGCATACCTGCATTAGTGCAGTTAATGAATCCAATTAATTCTGAGAAAGGGCATCTCTGCTTCTTTTCTTGAAGCACAAATATTAGTTCCAGGAGGTAAATGTAGTGGGAACCTGTTACATATTTTTTTGCCCTGATATAAATGTATTTGTGCAAAGTTTGACTAGGTGTTAAGCTTATCGACTTGCCTTGTAATATGAATATGGCCCTTTGTGAATAAATGAAAAATGAATGGGTGTAAGAGGAGCTCTGGCTTCTCATTATGAAGCTCTTGGAATGTGATTGTGGCAATGCCCAAATCAAACTATGAAGGCAGGTAAAATCTTGCTGGCAGTGCATAATTTGTTAAGGAAATTTCCCTTGGTTTCTTCATGTGATGGAGTTTAAAATGTTTAAAATTTGTAGTATGAAGCTGAAAACACAATAAATACAATTCTGGAATGGCAATGGCTGGTAGAGGGGTAGGTATTCAGTATTTAGATAGGGACTTTTTGAAGGATTTTTAGTGACAATGGATCCTCCTTCCTATGAGACAAGCAGCTGGCATCTGTACTTGCTTTTTTAACTGTTCTTTGCCACTCACTTTGAAGGGATCCTATATTTCACAGGTAAACTCCAGAATGTTTTCCAGAAAGGTTTGGGTATTGTTTGAGTACTTTAGATTCCACTTTTTCCCCAAAAGTGACACCAAGGAGATGAGGTGGGAACACGTTTGGAATCGGTGACCACCCCTTGATTTTTTGGGGACCACCTGAGACTGATGTATAATGTTGCTCTGTAACGATTGGTGCTTGAGAAAGATAAGCGCATCGCTTGATTAGCACATTTTGTGGCATTCCATAGTTTAACATTATTCTCTATGGAAAAACGGCAGATGGGGGCAGCCATGTTGAATGGAGGCCGAGAACGCCCATTTTCATTGGTACAGTAAAAACTATTAATGCCTGTATTCTCATGCTGAACAAGACTAATCAAGCGAAGCGCTCCTATTTCTCAAGCACCAACCGCTTCAGAGAAACGTTATACATCAATCTCTAGTGGGCTTGAAAATATCTGTAATTACGTAATCACTTCGGAGCTAGAGACTCAGGCTAACGTTTCATCAGCTTTTTTGGGTTTTCACTAAACCCAAGCGCACTCTAACCTCAGAACTGGCGATAAACACATACCCCGGGAGCCGCATTCCTTCTATGTTGGGCCGAAAGAGTGAGAAAGTCAACCTATTTTGGAGAATGATGGGTCAATTGGGTTAGAAAATAATCGCGGCCTTAGGCCGCGATCCTTTTCTAACCCAACTGACCCATCATTCTCCAAAATAGGTTGACTTTCTCACTCTTTGGCCTTTGACACCGAGTCTGGGAGAGAATACTGGAGATCCACACACACACTGCCACTGCAATGAAGGGTCTCGCTGGAATGGCGAAGACCTGACCGGAAGTGCGTAGGAAAACGTGTCAGAGTCGGGTCAGTCCGCGGGAGGACCGACCCCGACCCAGTACAGCGCGCATGCCCAGGAAGGTCATGGTATATGCTAGCAGACGCAAGGGCCTGGGCGGAGCGTGTAACATGACCGCTTCAGGCTGCCAAAGTGCCAGACGCTTTAAGAATTTGTAACGTTCCCTGCGCGAAACAACGGGCATGCGAAGTAAAGCGAAATTGGGTAATGGTATATTTATATGAACATATTTATAGGGTTTATATTTATTTCGCCGTATAGGCGCGGTCACCGATTCTAAAGTCTAGCCCAGATGGCTCCTTAGGTACTAGTTCACATCACAACAATAGTACTGCTGATGCTGCAGCATAACATATTTAAAGGGTTAACCACCAATGTGGTCTTTTTGGGATACTTCCATCAACTTTTTGGGTAAGTGTTTGATGAATCACGGGGGTGATTTATCAAAACACATCTAGCACACACTGGCTGAATAGGAGTTGACTTTTTTGGATACTGGGTTATCTCTTCCTGCAAACCCATTCTCTTCTGAAGAACCCCATGCTTCATCTTCTAGGTTTGGGCTTCAATTGGAATATTTGATCTTAAGGATTGGCCTTGTTCCAGAATGCCAAAGGTAGAAACCTCATTGGAAAGTATTTTCTGCATAATAATGTCAAGGTGAACCTATCACTGCACAAGTTGTACTGAAAATGAAAGAATACCAAGTCTATGGACAAATTTAATCTGGAAAAAGTTCACAAACTAATTACCTGGACCTGTTAGGCCTACTTTTGGCTCCTAATTTTTATCAGAATTCCCCTGCCCCCAGAATATAAAACCTCATCTGGCAAATATTTTGACTCGTTTCGCCCACTAAAAATATAGGCCTACTTGTATGTACTAAATTACTTTCAGTGTCACTTCCCATCCCTGATCTTTTTACCTTAACGGGGTAGGCCTATTTGGCATGGAGCGTGACTGTTACGTATACCTAGGTCTAGTCAGAGTCTGCATTAAAATTGTCTTCGCTCCATCAGGCCAACTGGTATAATTGCCCTATGCCAAGGCCTAGGCTTAACGATTAACCGAAGGTCTACACCTACTATTGGGTCCGGAAGAGTACAATCCCAAGTTCCAATTTTAGCAATTCTTTAGTCACGGATCACGTCCAAAGACGATGTGCTTACAACACCTCCAGCTGAGAAATCGCAAAGCTGTGACAGATAAACCATATTTTTCCGATCTCAAATAAAGAACGTAAATCAAAAGGCGAAGGAGGCGGCATGATTCCGGTTAGTACTAGACATACTCTCTAGATGTCGTACCTCGCCTGTCGTCTAGGGCCTTGTTCGTCGATAAGAGCTCTATTCGTCGACTGCCCTCACCGACTGTGGTCCTGCCACGCTAGCGTAATTTTTTTCACCAGGTTTAATTTTCCTAAAACCCTTTAACCCTTTAAATCCCACCCCGAGTATACTCGTGATAGCTCCGTGGTCTCCTTAGGAAACTCGAGAGTTAAAGGGTTAAGCCATTTTTTCCTCAATCGGACACGACCAGTGGCGTAGCCAGGTTTTCGTCAATGGGGGGCTAATGGGGGGCTAACTTCGCCTCGTCGGGGTGGGGCGGACGCATTTCGACCAGAGTTGGGGGCTTGAACCAAACTTGGGGGTGCTGAAGCCCCCCTCCCCCGTCGCTACGCCACTGGACACGACAGACTCAGAATCATTGTTTTTGTTTTGGGAAAGGGATCGCCAGGAGTTCATACGGAAGGAACCCGACGTCGTTTTCTTTGTGTTTACCTAGCGTGCCGACCAATTCCGAATCAAACGGGCTTAACTTTCCATTTCCCATAATCGCTCACCCTTAAAAATTCAGTGGCTTTCCCCATCGCCTTGTCCCTCTTGTCCAGAGACCCTTCCCCCCCCCCCTTCACTTTGCATTTTCCAGTTTGATTTAGTCCGATCACGCCCAAGGTCTTCGTCACTAGCAGCAGGGAACAGCGTGCGCCACGGTGTGTGTGCAACTTTCCACGTTTTTACCTGACCTGCAATGCAAATGTTCGAAAAAGTTACAAATTAAGCCCACAATCATCTCGACAAACATCATTAACTGCAGATTCAAATCAACCGGAAGAATCGTGCCCACCTGCGTCTTCTCGCTGAGAACTCATCTCAGACCTCGTCTCTCCGGACTAAAAGTCCCTCCCTCGGAGGACTGGGGACTCAGCTGTATCTCTCTCAAAGGAAATCGTCCTCATGCAGGTGAGTACTGTACGTAACAGTGGCGTGCCCAGGAAATCCGAATGGGGGGGGGATCGCTATATGAAACACTGATTACCCACCCTAGTAGGGGGGGTTAACATATGAAAAAACTGATAACCCACCCTGTATTTGTGTCCAAATAAAAAAAATTTGTGATAATCGAACCTGTAAAATTGACTAAAAGGGGGGAGTTATGAAAACTCCCCCCAAAACCAAACCCCCCCCCCTCCCCTTGGGCACGCCACTGGTACGTAATTACCCCATGTGGCGCCCCCTCCCTCCCCCCTGGCTTTTTCCCTCAATGGGTGAGTTCAAAT